GGTGGTGAGTCTCCCCTCGTGACAGTCAGGGCGCCATGTCGTTTCGAGTGTTAGCAACACGTAACAACAACCCAACTCCCCAAAACGACAACTTTTTACGTACGTTCCAACGGAAGACCCCAATTCTATTGTTCTCCCTGACCCGAGGTCACACACTGTCTTCCCAGCTACAAGGTCTATTTTTAGAACATACATACAGATACCAGGTACTCAATTTAGAACAACGGAGCACCCTCTCGTGATATAAATACAATTTACCAACGAGTTCAATAGTCAAATGTGTACGTGTTTAATACTGAAACTTATTTGTTGCTTAAACCCTTCCGCTACGGTAGTAATTCAGCTTTATAAGCTGCTGCTGAGGCTTGCCGCCATGTTTAGGCCCCTCACGATGAGCGCGTTCTAACTTGACATCTTCCATTGAGAAATCGTCCTTGCAATTTCTTTACAAGGACCAGGTATTCCTTGCTTTTCCGCTGCGGAAGACCAATGACACGCCTGTTGATATCCCGAGAGAATCATTCAAGTTTACTGATGCGCTCAGAGTGGTCGGTCAGCATTTTTTCCTCCGTAGCCATCGTAGAAAGGAGTACGCCATTTCCTTTGTCTTGCATTCTACTGCGTCAATGCGTCTCTATTGAAACTCAATGGAATCGTTGATCGTCGCTTCCGGGTTTTCAGTACGATTACGTAATACAATTTCAGACTGAGCTTCAAGCTCTTCTGCAACCTTACCTACGGGAAATGTATACATTACAAGAAGCAAGCACACAATATTTAAACTATTAGACGAAGGAGCCTGAAAGTAAAAGGCCACTCAGCGAGTATCAGAACCCTTGAGCTCCCCCACCTGGTAATTTTCCGCTTGGTTTCCTTGTTAAGTTGTGGGGGGGGTTCTAACTCGAACCCTCCCCTTTTAAACAATAATAATAAATGAAAGGTCAAAAGTGGCAAATCATTTATGATATTCAACACCCGGCATTATTGTTTGCGTGTCTCCTTGTTCTTGGACATTTAAATTCACATGATGTATAAGTACGTGGGAAGAAAATGTATAATACTTTAAAGATATACCAATAGCTGAGGAATAGATTTTGGTCTCCCGATTCGCTTTCATGTTCTGTCTTTTTGGTGCTTATACATGAAGATAATTTCCTAAATTCCAACCTACGTGTTTATCGAAGTATAAGCTTCATCACAGTCATTTTGTATTTTATTTTTGAAAGGGGGGGAGGTCATTACTTTGTGGGATAATTCTCTTTAAAGATCTCGCCGATTGTTGAGATATTCTTACGTACGCTGTACTCAAAAGCGTCTTTTGAATTTAGGCCTATACAAGCACCTTCGCCTTGATTACTAAGAATATATTATCGGTTTAGGGTTGGACAAGGTTAAAGGCTGGGCTCGAATTTACTCGCGCTACGCAAGTTAGCTATGACCGATCGGTCAGTCGAAGGCGTCGTCCACTTCCCTTTGTTTCAGTGACTAACGCCCAAATAAAAGAGCTGCCTATAGTCAAGGAAATGCTAATGAAATGGGTTTGCATTTAGCCACTAAGCCATAGCTCTTTTCTGCGATAGCTTCTGAGCTGTCCCGAGTCGTTTGTCTGGTGCCCTCTATCCTGCATACGAAGACTTGGGACAAACTGTTTACTGCTCGACACCGACGGCTTGATCATGACCGCCACTAGATTTGCGCTCTCTGGAAACGGTGAATCAATCGCCAGCCCTATCCGGAGCGCTGGCGGTCTTACGCGAGAACTCTGGTAGCTGTCTGTCACACAAGATCCCCATGTGTGCTAGTCTGGCAGGTACTGAGCGTCATGTAATCCCAAATTTGCCATCCAGTTTGTGTGCAATTTTATTGATATTTTCTGAAAAGGATCAGTTGTAAGATTGTAGACTTTTTACGGACAGATCATTTGGCCTGAGTTTGTTTGATTCTATCATACCCTTGTTCAACTTTTTTTGAATGAATTTTACGCACAGAAGCGTAGTAATGTAGCATGCATCAGTACAAAGCATCAACAGCGTTTGCTTAACACCATGATTTTTAATCCGGAAATTGTTTCGTAATAGTGCACTCCTGCGGACCAAGAAGGAGAGCCTTCGCCACGTTGGATTGCAAGAATTGTTAGAGTTGTTCTTAACTTCTTACGTCTATCAGCGTTCACTAGATTGCAACGTCTTCCTAGTGGGACTCAGGAAGTTTGGAACACCGCACACTGTTAGGAGAATTGTTGTAGTTGGCCAACAATGGGCTTAACAGGGCTATTTAAGTCGAAAAAGAGACTAAACTATTTAATTAACAGAAATACAGATGAATAGGACGGGTGGGAAAATGAACGATACTAGTTTTGAAACAAAATACAGCTGGCTGAAGAATTTGCAATGTATAACAATTACATATGGCGTGCAAAGTTTAATCCAGGAATAGAGATATCTCTATTTTTAATAGAGATAACTCTGTTGATAATAGAGATATCTGTGTACGCGGATCATATGTTAACTTTGCCCGTCATAATTACTTGAACTTGAAGACATTAGCAGGCCCCACAGGGTATCCCCTGTTACTGGCTGCAACGCCCTCAACACTTTTACAATATACGGTGGGGTTGTTCTAAAACAGCCTTGACCCCCACGACCCCCTCGACCTTACGTTCAAATCCCTCAAAATACAGATTATTAACGGGTGCCTGAACTCATGGAAATTGTGTTTTTATCAAACACAGCTCTAGGTATTGCGTTACTTATCGTTCCCCTAGATTGAGAAACATCAACGTTATTAAAAAGCGATGCATGCGCGAGCGCACGTCACGAGTGAATGTGCTGATTACGAATCTGGCTGGTCGCGTGGCGTTCGAGATGCGGGTTAGGGGTCGTTATTATAAATGTGCGTATTTGCACCGTTGCGCCGGTGTATTTGTCATGGGAAGGTTGGAGCAATTATCATAAATGGGGTGGAGAAATTTTTAAGAATAAAATATAACAAAGTTGCTTTCTTGGCCGAATTGCACGGTAGCTCAGTTAGAAGAGAGCTAGACAGCAAGGCGCAGACTCGAGTCTACGTGAATGCAACATTGATTATTTTTGGAGGAGGAAAAGTTTGTTGGAGGATGTTTATTTAGGAAAGTGAAGCCCGACAATTAGCTTCGAATTTTTTTTCTTTAGGCATACTGTTTGATTGAGCTTGTAGTTAGTTAACCAGGCCCATTACCTGACCAAGGTAAGGTAATGTTCCACACACAGAAATCGATGTGCGAATACCTGTGGGAAGAGTCCCGTTTTCGGACAAGATCCCGTTCATGATCAGCAGCAAGTATTACATGGCCACAAGTGAAATCGTCAGTTGAAGGGGTCGAGGGGTGTTTAGAACAACCCTATATGGTGACAATTTTTTAAAAGACAATCTGACATCACTTCTATCTTTCTCGTGAGCTCTGGTTAATCTTCATATTCTTTGCAAAAGGTGGAAACGTAATTTGAGACCTTTATCATTGCATTTCTAGCTGAAATGTACACTGATAAGCGTCGTCGTGCTATATAACTACATGCTTAGAGATGAAATGGCAATACATATACACAAAATTGCCGATTGCTCACGTTGCAGGGTTTGTTGGCGCGGATAAAAAGCCGCCTGAAACAGAGCTTCCATCCAAAACTTTGTCAAGGTTGGAGGCACTTGTTACTACTGGGAACATTGTCATGGAGCGTTTCAGAAACAGATGGTAGTGAGAGGGAGATTCTGTGGACAGTAATGTCCCCGCTTACTGCTGCCACATGGAACTTCGGCCACTGACCGATAAAAGGATACATGAACTTTTTCACAAGACTTCACATTACCGAATTTGTGAGAGGCGTGTCTTTGAACTGACTCCTACTCTTACTTCTGCTTCAACCCTTAGCAGTCACATGGAATCAACACTTCGTGAGTCCAAAAATACTGCACAAAGAAATAGGCTTACACGACCAAACTCGCCGGTCAACACTCCATTTGCACATGAATCTAAGTCAACTGCCATTACCAGTGCACACATGCCACAGTCAGTACAGTCTCCCACAAACTCAGACATTCTCAATCTGCATCTTGCAAAATCCAGTGCTATTAAAGCGGTTCTCCGGATCATAAAGCAAACTCCCTGTCATGTCAAGCCATTCATGCAACTTCTTGGCCCTTCAAATTATAAGGGACATGTGGTCGTCTGTGCAAGTCGTCAGCTAAAGTTTAGTTGTTGAACATTTAAACTGTGATTCATGAGGACGAATTACAACCCCCTTCCACTATCAGCTTCCAGAAACCCATTAATCATACCAGTGACCAGAGTACACATCTTTCATTCAACTTTAATGCAGATTCTTCAACTTTGATCTTGCCAGGTTTACCTGCATGTGCCAAAAATTGCCCTAGGGTATACCATAACTTGCATAAGCCGAATACCCGATGAGGCTAGATGCCGTGGTGAAATTAGATTTCTACGTTGTGGACAACGGTGATTGAATTCTAGGTTGTCTCATATTTGGTCGCTTCAACTCACCCAGGCGGTTAGAGAGTCATTATCATGTCTTCAGCTAGCCCCAAAATGTTTTGTTCATCTCCATCCCAGAGCACTTTGCAACCCCAATTCAATTACACCTGCCTCACCTATAAATATTACGATTATGAGCATTTCTTTAGAGCCGAGTTCCCAAAGTTACATGTAAGAAACAGAACAGGAACCGCTCCTAAATTTGGAATCTGTGACCGGTTTTCACACACCATCGTCACTGACAGGAAAGTGACATGCGTCTCTCTGGGTGGGCCTTCGACAAGTCAGTTGCGCTGTGGGTCATTAACGGTTTGCCACCCTGGCCTACAAGAAATGTTAAATGTTTTGCAATAGTTTTCTGTAAACTTGATTTAAATTATGCTAAATACTATCTGAATTGGGCAGAACTGTCAAATGATTAAAACATTCATAACCCACGAAGGACTGTTCTGTCAGACGTGCTTGTTTCGGTCCTGCTTCAGCACTGGTATAGTATTCCAAAGACGTCAGTCCTAGCAACTTAGCATAACTGAAGTGTGTTACCAGGTGTATACAGAGAGTCCTACATAATAGACCGTGGTGTTGTGCAAGGCCTAAACTAAACACGACAAGCATTTCTCCGTATACAGGGCGTAGGAATGACCCTCAAACCCACACACAGTCCGTTTGATGTGTCATTGCTACACTTCCCCTGACGTAATGCATCCGCACAAGGGCTGGGTGATGACCAAGAAAAAGTCGAAAAGTCAATATCATACGTCTTCGTGACATTTCTGTCTCTGATGCCGACGTGAAGTTACATCGACGTTAAATTTGTCCCGAAACGTGTATCCGATCTCATGTCAATGTTTCCTTTTTCTCACACGTACATATAGCTATCTTTATGTCGACATTCCTTAAACAGAAAAAAAAACTTTTATGATCACGTTTTTTCGGCTACCAACCGTTTGCTGACTTATAACATTTTTCTCATCATGTCTTCTTTGATTACAACCCACATCCATGCACCATTATACATCTTTTACGATAAAATGTTGACAATGGTTTAATGCAGTAAATTTCTTGGTTGGCCTCTCTGATTCAATCAATAAGTGAATGTAATGTCTTTAAGCAATGGATGGCGCTTTCAAAATAACGTCAAACACTTGGGTAAAAACGAAATAGAATAAAACTCCTGACCAACGGACTAATTCCCAATCTGTGTATTGACGTCAAAGTTTACATTGTAAAAGATCACTGTGAAATGTACAGTATTGTACTTCATTTCACAAAAGCAAAAAGTAAAACCATGTACGCGTAGTAAACATGTTGGTTTAAAGGTATTTGTTTAAAGTAGATTACTGTGATGAAATATAAAGCAATACTGCACACATTTTATGTTTACATGAGTCACACTCAGACTATATACTGACCTCAGACCGATGTCAGAACATGGATCATAAGCTGATGTCAGACATTGACCTTCTTAGGCTTAATTTCCACGCCAAAATTAACTTCACACTGCCGTCACATTTTGACGAAAACAGATGTTAAGCCAACCCACTCTGCCGAAGTACTCAGAAACAAAGCAATCATAGGCCTAGGTCAGTACATTCTATAAACTCCCGGGTCAGATTGACCCAGAATTGGGTCCCATTCGGCGTAACCCTTTCCCGGATCAAAATATGGTCCCCTTTCTGGGTAATATTTTACCCTTTCTGGGTCATATTTGACCTGTTCTGTTCTGTTCTGTTCGGCGAAATAATACCAACCGATGTCCATGTCTACAAGCAAAATAAAAAAGTTTTTTTGTTTAGTAGACCGGCTTTCTCTCGTGACTCTCACAACTTGATTGAAAGGAGAGGTATACTAACGTTCGTATTAATGAATGTGCATGCATAGAAATAGAAACAGACAAATAAATCAAATAAGTTACATGTTTGGGCAAAAGCATCTTTCTCATGGTACATCTTGATCATCTTCACGGCTTCCTTTCATAACAGACAGAGCAACCAGAAATTCGTAAGCCAAAATCCCAAACATTTCCTGTAGCGCTGGATGATAATGATAGTAAACCTTCGCTATTTGACAATCTAAATAGTTCTGGCAGTGGTCTCGGATGAATGGGTACTGTCCAAAAACTGTTAAATAAATTAATCATACAGTAAAAAATATATATAAGCCCAGTGGAACAGTGAAAATGATTCCAACTAAGGTGAGTTTCAACTGAAAAACAGTTTTTAGATTAATCCAGTGAATTGATCATTGTCAATGAGTCCAGGGAATTTAAACTTGCCTGCTTGTATAATAGCCCGTCTTAAATTAAAGCACTCTCAAACATAACGTTAATAGCACTTTGGCGGATAATTCCCATATAGTGTAACAAAAACGTATGTGCCGTATTCAGGGTTCCAAAACTGAGTTTTGCGCATCTGGACGTGTCATTGCAGTGCACACTTTCTTGGAGGAATCCCTTCGTTATGTCTGTTTCTGGGAATGATCTCACAGGGAGATTTCTTAACATCATTTAACCATTTTAGTTGTGTTTAAACGATACTTTTTGTCATCTGGGCATTTCAATTGTACCTGTAATCTTAGGTGAGAGCTTTCAAAAATATCTTACTAATAAACATGCCGTATGTAGCCACCCAGGCTGTCAGCTACGGTAGAGCATTTATAAGTTACTTTGCGCTTCCTGCATGATACACTTTGTTTTATCACTGCCACAGAATTATCATCGCTGTTTGTGTATATGTAAGATGTGAAATGGTACAGGTAGACAGGTTCTTGCCATATTTACACTCTAATTTGACGTCATGTTTGAAATTGTGTGATTTTGACAATAAAATGAAGCCGATGGTGAAAATGTACATTTAACTTTGAGTCAATGTTCATTCTCATGTATATCCCAGTTTTACCCATATGGCGCTGTTATTGCCCACCTGGGCCCCTATATGAAATGCCATAGTGCATTTAACACATGGGGAACAGGTGGGCAAATATGGCCCCGTGCAAAGCCTAAATTGCGCACTTGAGTACCAGTAAAGCTGCCCAATTAGTCCCCAGTTTATTTGCCAAATTTTCCCCTTTCAAAAATGTGTCTGCTAGTTGGGTTTCGTACCTGAGAAAAGATTTAAATTCTCAAGAGTTAAAGGATTACATTATCACCTACTTAAATTTTTCCCCGTATTTATATCAGTCTCAGTGAGTAATCTAGTTTGGTTTCTTTCTTCTGAAACAACTGCGATGACTTTTCTGATCTCTGAATATTCTTAGGCGGACATATTTTACAGTTGGGATTTTTTTTCTGACGCTAGATGCAGTTTTGTAGTCCCTTGCGACAGGTGCAGTTTATTTCCTGGCCCACCCCAAAATGCAAAAACAAAGAATAAATAGAAAAGGCTGGTAACTATTGGATTCGCAATAACGATGGTTAAAAGGTAATATGACATGGAAATGGTTTAGCACCCCCCCCCAAAAAAAAGATGGCTCTAGAACTGTGCCTTCCTTGCGCCTAAATTATGTGAACATACCGAGAGGTTTGTGAACATGCACGTGACTAGTATCCTTTCTCACTTATAAATACCAGTACATGCTTCATACAGTGTATTTTGTATTTTTTTATCTTGTAGTAACATCCGTGACTCCAACATCCATTCTATTGGATCTGACGCCTTCAACGGGCTCAGCAGTCTCAGACTGATGTAAGTTTGTTTGATGTAAACTACGAAGTGCTCTTTAATTTTAATAATATGCATGGACTAGAGAAAATGCAAAGCACGAGACGGATCTGCCTCCACGACCAACTTTTTTCCTTAGGTTTCAGCACTTTCCTTTGAAAAAAAAGTTGTACAAATAATTTCACACAGCACTTTGTGCGATATCAGATAACAGTTCTTATGAAGACAAAAACGGGAACTTTTAGTCCCCTGTAATGCATCATAATTCTGGCAAGTACAGGTATGGTAAAATTGAATTCAAACAACAAACTCCTCGAAAAAGTGAATCAACTATTAGGATATTAGACTGAAGTTCTAATGATTTTTCTTCAAATTTGAGCAGTCCTTGCGTGTTTATTTTGCTCTTAGTCAATTTATGTTTAGTTCTTGTTATGATTATTTCAGGTGTCATTTTATTTAGAATATGTACAAGCCAACATGCACTGTTCCTTTCAGAGTATTAATTTTGGAAAGAAATGATTTTATTTCTCCAAAACAAAAGTTGAGAAGGAAGCCGAGACCAACCAGGGTGACATTAGAATGTGGTCTTTATAACAAGGGGATAAAATTTCCAATACCTGCTATATGATTGGAATTATATGGGGCCGAGGAAGAGAGGCTCAATTTGCACTAATGTCCCCAGTAATACGGTATGGATCACCTTTTGAGGAAATCGAAGATATGTAAATTAGACCCAGCGTGCAGGATTTAACCCGCAGAAACCACTGACAGAGGCAAACTAAGGCATCGAGGGAAGGAGGTGAATTTCTCCTTCTCGACCTTATAATCAATTCAGCACGTAAGGCCTTTACATAATTACATAATTATATTTCACCGTCGTGAAGACTCATCATGTTTATTTCACAGCTAAACCAAAGACTGGACTATATTCCAGTGTTGTCTTGAGTACACGAGTACTCGACCTGAACTCGAATATCGGTACTCGATACTCGACCATTGTATTCAAGAACAAAATCGAATACTTCACTTTTTAACGAAGTTCTCGAACGCTGGATTGGCACCCAAAGACTTGTTTTACTGTTTTGGCTAGTGCGTCGTGCAGGCAACGTGCACTGGTGAGCACAACAGAATAGCAAAATCAGTAGAGGGCGCTATGTTCACAGGAGACGAACTGCCAGAAAACCAGTTTGAGCATACCTCACGCGCCTTAGTTACCATGAATGATTGCGCATGCACACCACCAAAAAGCGCCCACCATAGATTGCATTGTTTCGGAGTTGACACGAAACGAGAACACGTTATTCGTGGCTTAGAATGAATTCCACAGAGGCCTACTAAATGGTTGTTGCTGTAAATTGGAGACTTCTGGTGCGTTCTTCTTCAGAACTCCCTCGTATGAGTATATTGTTATGATAGAACTCACAATCTCTGCACTTGTTCGGCAGTGCTAGCCAATTAACGGAGTTGTTAAATGCCCTTCGACGGTGTGTTATGTTTCCACCCTAGTCGTTATCAAGCCTTGTCGCACGTATCTTCAAACATTTCAGGGGAAGTGTAAGTCAATTGCAGAGTTCGGTTCCAAATAAAACTGTTCACACGTACCATCGACCCCAGGCTGGGAGTAAACGGCTGCTCAATCGTTATGTGTCATCCAGTTCACAAAGCTTTGGATACCCGATTCACGCATTGGCCGGATAAATCTGTGTCTGACTGGGTTTTGCTGAACCTGATATTGCCGAGGCTTCTGGGTCACTCCATCATGATCACTTGTTTTCCTTAGAGTTGCTCTTTAAAATGCAAGGCAATAAACACAGTCATGCGTTATTCGTAGTACAAAGGACAAATTATCCGGTGAGGAGGCAAAACAAATGAATTGTATACGCACAGGAGAGCAGCTGGACATTGCTGGATAGAATCTGTATTTGTTCGGTTGTTGTGTGGTTGAAGGAAGTGCTCCATTTTCTGGGAAGAGCTTGAGAAGTGTGTTTGTAATTGACATGATTCAGGCATAATTCAGGCAGGCCATGTTTTCGTACTTGCCCTTCATCAGTGCCTTAGTAAAAAAGGTACATGGACATCTGAATTCCTCATGAAATTCCATTGAGCCGACAAGTAAATTTGGCTGACACCAACGATAAAATAAAAAATAATAACAAATATTATTTTGTTAGACTGTACAACAACACTTTGACATTAGAGGGCGCAGCAAACTGCGCCATTAATCATCTGTTCATTGCGACGACGCTAGCGGATTGCCTTGCAATGGAGTAAGAGTTTTCAGCCAAATTTTCGGATTTTCAAAACTCTATCGAACGCTTGATTCAGAGTCAAGACCGGACAATAGACTCCATCACTGATTTGAATAGGAGAATTGTCGCATTGGAGCGACGAACTGAATCTCAGGAGAGATCTATGCCGGACGTTGACGCTCGAGAACCATGTTTACATTCAACACGTTCACCCTCAAGATGGAAGTGCACCGGCTCCTAGTCCCGAGTGGGCTATAGGCCCAAACGCATAGAGAAAAAGTACAACTGCCTGTCACCCAAAAGGAGGGCATTTCTTAGTAATGAACTCGAAAGGTTAGATGTTACCAATGCAATTTCGTAAGTATCTGAGGTACCTTATTGTGTAAATGCAATTGATACGGTTCCAAAGAAGAATGAAAAACTTCGATTTATTACGGATCTTTGCAGGGTTGATACATGTTGTATTCCACCCAAGTTTGGATATGAAGATGTTATACTTTTACCTTCTTACTGAAGGGTTCCAACACATTTCTGTTCATCATGACTTCCGTTAATATCTCGTCTTTAGTTGGTGTGGCAAATATTACACTTTGAATGTATTACCATAGGCCTATGACTTAAACCTTAGTCCTACTATTTCTGTAAAACGTTGAGGTCTACTATTAAGTACCTATAAGATAACAAGGTATTCGACTGATGGCCTTTATGGATGATATCCTCATATGTAGTTCAGAGGATAGACTTGAGACTGATGTTACTTTGACTCTTTCAACTTTCAACTCTTAAAAATTGTCTTTTACACCTGAAAAGGAAATAGAATACTTGGGTTTTGTTATTGACAGTTCCGGCATTAATGGAATGTCAACACTGAGGGTTCCTCAACGTAAAATAAGAAAAGTGATCACAGATGTCACCAGAGCTATACAGAAAGGTACTGCTAAGGCATGTATTCAGGCACGCTTGGCTGGTCAGTGTATGAAGCTGAAGGCAGTGTAAAGACTGTTACGATCCAGCTTACCGTGGGAGGATCAAATTTTAGTGTGGTCTTTGGATGCAGTTACTGACTCGACGTGGTGGATAACAGCACTTGAATCATGGAACGGTTCCACAATCTTGCCAAACAAAATCGAGGGTCAATAAACAACTGAGACATCAGCCGATTTGGCTACGGAACTCATCTTGGAGACTTCAAGGTACACGGACTCTGGACAAAACGGGCTGCATTCGAGAGCTTAAGTTACCGCGAAATGATGACAGTGTTAATTAATGGCCGTTCAGTCACTTAAGCAAGCCCTAATAGGTAAGACGATACAATTGTTGTTGGATAGCATAACCATGGTCTGTTACCTAAATCACTTGGGTGGTGCAAGTGTAAAACTAACCAGAATTGCCCAAGCAGTTTGGGCGGAGTGCCTGCAGAGCGAGGTCGTCCTACTTTGAAGACATTTACCAGGAAAACTCAATACTCGGGCAGACGTTTTAAGCCGCCTGGCCGACAACTTCGAATGGCGCCCACACCCAAACCTATTTGGTGCACTGGACAGAATATGGGTCCCACATGTACACATGCGACAGGTTTGCATCGCTAATGACAACTCAGATGCCCGTGTACAACAGTCGTTTTCAGGACCCCACGTTATCAGGAATAGACGCGCTTGCACAACTCGATACGAGGAAATACAACTTTGTGAATCCACCATTCCGCCTTCTACTACTGGTACTCCGGGTGATCAGCCAACGAAAGGCCAAAGCCACAGTGATTGCCCCATGGTTTCCGGCCCAGCCATGACATCAGCGTCTCAGACAAAAGGCGGTGCAACCTCCATTCCGTATCCCACAAAAACCACGAACTTGCATCGCAATAGGGATGCTACAGACAGACCCGCTTCGCAATCGCAAGTGGAAACTTTACGCTTGGAGGATATCTGAAGAATAAGATCGAGTGATGAACAGTAGAGTAAGCGAGCTATGGTCCAATTCCAATCAACTTTATATAGTTATAATAGGGAAGTGTCTAAATTGTCAAACTTTTGTTGTCAACAAACATGGCATTTCCACCAATGTATACAAAATGTTCTTGCAGACTTCTTGTGCTTCATAGCGGACTCCTCGGACAAAGCTCGTTCACAATCAAAAACTGCTCAGGCTGCACTCACTTTCATGTAGGCCTATGACATGTTCATTTTAATGTTGATGGTTCGGTTTCTTTAACTTTACATGTTGTAGTCAACCAGATCAGGCTTTGAAAGACTGCTCTCATTGATAGAACTGGTTTAATTATTCGTCCTATGCAGAGCAGCCCAGTATTTCTCACTCAGCTTAAACCTTACAAAGCCATTTCAGCCATCACAGTTGCTCAAATACTAGAGGAGGCAATAGTTTTGGCAGGTCTCTCACGAAGCGTTTATTCTGCCAAGTCCGTCCGTCCCACAGGTGCTACCAGTGCTATGCGTACTTATAGACCTGATACGGTATTGAAAGTGGGTCGTTGGAAAACCCAGTCTATGATCATTATGTTCACAGTAAGATCCCACAGAGTTTTCTGCAGATATTCTGAAGTAGTGCATAGTACACATGTTGGATTCTAATACATCTCATTACGTGGCACTGTTTTAAATAATATTCAGTTTGTAACAATAAAAAAATGTCTTGTGTTATATTTGACGTAGGTTTTTGCAAACTGTATAGACAACAACACTTCCGCACTAGAGGGCGCAATAAACTGCGCCCTTAATCCTTTCTTTTAAGTACACACATTATCTAAGTTGGTGTATCTCCGTCTATAACCCCTGTGATTGTGTACCCATAGTGTCGTCTGGGCAGAGTATGGCACTGTGTTAAATAATATTCAGTTTGTAACAATATTATTCTGTGTCTTGCGTTGTATCTGACATGGGTTTCTGTAAAGCGCCATCTATCCAGTAAGCTATTCTGAGGCGCGGTATTACCATTATACCTGCACATTGGACTCGCATCATTAGAATATTCCTGAAACCATCTCAGCTCCCTTAGGGGTATACTTGCCCAATGCTGCAACGGCTAAGCATAACCGTATCTGCCAACACAGGTACCCATTTACTCCTGGGTGGGGAGATAAGTAAAGTGACTTGCCCAAGATCACAATATGTCTGCCACCAGCTGGACAGGAACAGTATTGTCTCACTTTAAAAAATTACTGTGAAAACTGACACTCCCCTTAGCTAGTTAAACAGCCTTGGGGCATTCAATGTTTAGGGTTTGTATTACACAGTGAAGACCCGTACACTCCCCCGTGTTCACTAGCCACTTGTTCCATGGGGTCCTGACGCGTTGTTGCCGATTGGAAACTGTCGGCGTAGAGCTGATGTAAGGTGTCATTCTGAGATGTTCACGTGAAGTGGCATTGGGCGTTGTCCTAGTATAACCTAATTTTGCTGGAATAACGGCTTTCATGACCGTGGGAAGGTGTTCCATTTTGAAACGTTAAAGGTACACAGGTTGCCGTTGGCGAATCTGCATGTTTGGTTGTATTGTACTGTGGTTGTTTGCTAATTATTCACATCAACCACAATGTGTAATTTGTTCTTGTTGCCTTTTGAAGCTTTTCCCAATTTCCCGCTTTATCTGGTTCCTGATCATTTTTGTTGGTCATCTTTTACGCTTGGGAAATTTTCTGACACTCGGGCAGTTTGTGATCCAGGGACGCCCTTGATCCTAAGTTGAGAAGTGACATGGATATTTGTAGGGATCTGAAGTAATAATTTGTCCTCACTTGTAAGTATATGCTTCTTAAAATGTACTTTGCATTTTGCCTTTTTTATTTGGCAGCAACATCAGTGACTCCCGCATCTATTCCGTAGAGTCTAGAGCCTTCAAAGGACTCAGCAGTCTCCAATGGCTGTAAGTTTACCGTGACGCGTGATTTGTTGTCATAGATAACATTGCATGCTCTATATATATTTCCAAACTCTATTTAATTTACGCAAAGTATACAAAATGCCGACCTAACTGCTAGTTTCACCGGGCATGCACCACAACGCTACATCTTCAACCATGCAGCCTTGCTAAACTCCCCAACAAAAAAGTGAAATAAGTTGCTGAATAAGTCAAAATAAACTAGTCGTGACTCACAACGCCAATGGCATCGGGTATACTCGCAACATGAAAGACCAGCGCAAGCGGCAACCCACGTTATGAAACAAAGACTCTTGCTAGTGGCTATTCCGGTAGGGCCTTTAGTAGTGCGTCCGAGATTCCAAGCCTGCCGTGAATAGGAACAAAAATAAATAAAATTTTTAATGAGGAACGCAATCAATATTTACGGATGGCGAAGCATTGTGAAAGAGGATTTTAACAAATGGAACTGCAGTACTATCCTAGTAATCTCCTCGCTGATTTTTACCAGACTAGAGTTCGCTGCTTTAAGATAGATGAAAGACACTGAACAACTTGCACAATTTTACTAGTTTACACTCTTGTAGCTAAAACTAAACACATTTAGAACTTTTTTCGTAACCATTTTTATCTTTCTCTTTACTTTCAAAGTATAAGGAAACCTATTCATTATTAAAAAAAATCTATTTCGGTAGGTGGGAATCCCCATGTTATCCACGGCAGGTTGCTTTGTGCAGCAACTGTGTCAGATTTAAAGGAAGACATTTATGGTCCATAGCGCCCACATGCCCGGTGGTCTAAAGAGGCTGTATATCTATGACTAAGTAGGAGTATTATCTTTGAGTGGCATCTAGTTGGGGGGGGGAACAAATCCCGTTACCATTATTACAATTTTTCACATTGGCTCATTGAACGATTTCCCTTCACCTTTTCTAACGACTTACAGACGTATTTAGGTAGTTAGTTAAACAACAGCCACGGAGTGTTGCCTCTGAACTTTGGACGAGTGCGTTGATTTTAATTGATTGAATTATGGTGGCCTGATGAAAACCATCAAATATTATATGATGGCCACTGTATTCTGAGTTTCACCTTGAAAATTTATTGACATATTTACAACGAAGTGACAATTTTAATTTCTTTCAAATAAATTTAACTAAATTCTTTACTTGGGTCTTTCATTGGTTACACTTTGTTGAAAATGCAAGATTGCAAATTAACCAAAGTGCTACATAGAAAAAAGGTGTACAAAGCGAATAGGCTCTCGGTCAGAGAAACTTGAAAAAGCAGAAGAAACGAGAACTCTTATGTCTGTTCGAGGCTTTATGAGGCTTTTCCGCATTTGAATGATTCCGAGGAAAAAATGCCGTAGAATGGATCTTTGATGTCACGTAACTTGTCACCTGATGAGGGTATCACTACATGAGGTCCATTTTCGTCTGCAACACTTTCCTCTCTATGTATCTGCAAAGTTTCAACCCAATTGGACATGTACTTCAGGGGATAAAGGCATTCGAACTTTGAACCTTAAATGCCATGTCACGTGACACCTGTGATGTCATGATGGCGATTCCGTTCTTGGACACTATCTTGCTGGTGGATCAAGAGTGTGGACCTAATATTCATTCAGATCGATAAAAGTCCTAACGTGTTACTGTTGAAAACGTGTATTAAATATATTGAGAGGTTGAATATTTAAAATTCCATAATAAATCAGGTGATGACGTCATCATTACATCATGTTTTATGAGAAACCTTTGCTATATTTTCAATGACTTTTTTATTGCCTAAGATACTCAGGAGTAAAACTGTGTTTAAAGTTTACGTCCTTTTTGATAGACAAAGTAAAACTGGAAGTTTCTCACAGAAAAAACTGGCTTTTACGCATTTTCTTGTTTTTAGAAGAAAGAATTTGTTCATTTTAATATACAAAAAACATTTCGATTTCATACTCCTTGCTCAAAGATATACCAAAGAGTTAGAAGGAATACAGAAATTTCATGTCTTGTGACCCGGATAAAGTTTCATTGCCGATTGTTTCCTTGCACCCTGTTGGACGTATGGATTAAATATGCACCTGATATGAGGCGATTCAGAGGGATAAGTACTTGATTCTGTTACTAAAAAAAGGCACAAAATCTATTCAGAAAAACTGCACCTTTAAATTCGTGTTACGTGATTTGCATTTGAACGAAAAGATTTTTATCAAATATTTCTTGATATCTTGACTCTTGGGCATACTTGTAATCCGACAACTTTCCTCTTATTTCTCTTTAATTCTCAGCTGTGAATTATAAGCCACTTTTGGTTTCGACCAGAAGTAAAGGTCAAGTGACTTACAGACTCGAGATGAAATGAAACACTCAATTTTACTACCACTTTACCGTAAACACCAAGTTGCAGGAAGCCACACTTGACTTTATAAGGATTTTTAAAAATTCAAATTCAACCGTCTTCAATTGATTGCAGTGTGATACCTAAGGACGTCGTTATGACATCATCATTTGTAGACTAGATATTCCTTAGGGTCCTTCTTTCGTGTGGGTGTAAGATCCAGGATGGCGAATTGACCACAGGGCCTCTTGAAAACTGTGTACAGAGTCAATAAAAGAAAATGAAATATTCAAAATTTTACCAAAAATTTAACAAAAATTACAAGATGACGTTATCCTGACGTCCGCAATTAAACAGTGCTCTTTTGTCTTCCTGTGATTTAAAACAGAAGTTATAATGGGCGGGAATAAACAAGTGTGGTTAAGTCCGCTGTTCAAAATTTAAGACACACACAGTACATGCGTAGCCCTATCGGATATGCGCTTCAGAGGATGCAGTGTTTTTACCAGCACGCAACAGGCCCGAATCGAATTCCAGTCTGTGGACCTCTGCCTATGGAGGACGAAAAGTGGTCATCTGCTTTTTACCTGTCAAACAAGCAGGAAAGTGGATTGAACGTTTTGACAACAACCGCGAATTCAACTTTTCAGCTTTTGTGATACCGGAGAAGCAGATTTTACATAGGTGGCCGAAAAGTGGCCATCTGCTATTCAGTCCTCAATGGGCCGTGAATGGGGTCATGAACCTGTAGGTTACGACCACTTTTGTTCTGGGGGAGTGAAGACGTACCGGTAGACACCAATTAGTCTCCATTCAGGGGACCAATCCCATATGGCAGTATCAGTCGTCCCTGTGAGGCCTAGGAAACAGCATCTCAAAGAAAATACCAGAGCAGTTTTACTGCCATCATCCAATAGACACACAAGCTTGTTTGGGCCATGGAAAATATGTAAATCCTTCATTGCAAAAGATGGGCTGGACTGTAATTATTAGTTTATACGTGTTCAATCCCCTAGAAAGGAAATGGTCATAACCTGAGGTTCACGAGCCTGTTTACGGCCCATTGAGGGCAGAAAAGCAGATGGCCACTTTTCGGCTGCCTACATAAAATCTGCTTATGCGGTATCAGGCAGAAAAATTGAATTTACAGTTGTTGTCAAAACATCCGATCCTCATTTCTGCCTATTCGAAAGGAGAAAAGCAGATGGCCACTTTTCGGCCGCCAGCGAACGAAAAAAAAAGTTTAAAAAAGTAAATCTGCTTTCTCGAAGCAGAAAAGCAGAAAAAAAGAAAAAAACGGAGAACCAAACAATGTTCGTTCTGCTTTTTTAGGTGGTAGAAAAGTAGAAGAAATTGCATGTTACAAAAATATAAAATCTGCTTTTCCACTATTCTGATAGCAGACAAGCTGTCCTTCTTGCTATAGCGCTACAGCAGTTAGACCGTACGCTGATTCCACTCACCCACAGGCTTTCCCTGCCACGCGGTTGGAATGATGCTAGGCCCCGAAACAGTGTGGCTCCATTATTAGCTTTATGTGTACAATGCCTATGGCTCTTACCCCTACGGGTTGAGTTGTAGGCATTTTAAGCAGAAGGCCTGTTTTGTTTTGTTTTTTTTTCATTAGCTGCGCGCAGCGTGTATGAACAATGCAACGAGCCAAACACTTTAGACAATGGATGCAGACTTTAGCTTTCCATGGGCAACTTCAGACCGTACCTGTTTTGACTGATTCTGTTTAGTGACTTTTAATGAATCAAAGATCTTTTCATAATTTTTTGCACAACGGTTGCAGCCATTAAGGTCATCGCATCTATCTATTACTTTTCAAGCGAATACGGCAAAGTTCTCCACAGACATCTTTTCAAAATACATTTTTGAATTTTTTCAACCTGTTGCCAGAGGGTGTTTGAGTGTTGCAGACGTCACGGTACATGTTTTGAGGAACACCATTTTTCAGAGACTAAGGTTGCGTTTGAATCACTTGTCTACGGCCGAAATTTCACACACCCCTATGAGAACTGACCGCGGCCGCTACCATAGACTTGTGTGTAACTTCCAGCCATAGCCAAGTGATTAGGACACATTCTAACACTGTTAATAGTAGGCTCAATTCTATTTTCGATTTTAAATGATAAAACACTTCCGGTTTGGGCCAGTTTAGACCGAAAGTAAGGGTCAAGCGATCTTACTTACATAAAAGGAGAAGTGATTAAGACCAAAGATTACCCGATCACTTGGTGCAAAATGGAAGTTGCGGGAGGTCGCGGTTGACTTTATGTGGCATTCATCTTCAGATGGTAGTCCAACTACGTGCCAGGTTTGAAGGGCGTCGGCAACAAGGAAGAGGCAAAAGTCGTGTGTAGAACGACCCCATGTTATGTCTATGGAGGAAAAGTGGTAAAAAAGAAATAGAAAGAAAAGAAACGGGACGAGATGTACAGAATCGGACCAAATTGCTTGTTTTTGCAAAAATTTAGAGGTAAAGTTGTGTTCAAGGATTTTTGAAAATGAACTTAAAAACGAAATTGGTCTGTGATCATTTATGATACAGGGATCCCCAATACTGACAAAGTAATTATTAAACCTTCTACAATAAGAGCCTGATGTTTTATACACTGGTTGTTAACATTATGTTTCAAGGTTTGAAAAACTGTAGTTTTTCCTTTCAAAACAGGGTTAATGATTTCAAGGTATTTATGGTGTTGCCCTTTTCTTTTTGAAGTTGATCAGTAAAGTACTTTTGTTTAGCAGATTTCAATATGATTTGTAAGTAAAGGTGTGTAAAGGATGTAACTTTCACTATTTAACTGGTTTGAAGAACGAAGAAATTTGTGATAATTTTCCATTCTTATAATCAATAGATTCCAATGAGGCAGGGGTAATCCATTTAGCCCGAGTTTGGGACTTTCTATTGGAGTGGTTAGTCGGAGTAAGAGGGGTGTTTTTATCATACAATTTAGATACTCATAAAATTAAATTGGAATTAACAGTGGTTGAACTGTTCGGCTTTAGCCAAACAACAAAAAAACCAAAATCAATTATCATCTCCTGGCGCAAATCTATCCTTGCAAACAACATCGATTATTTCCAATAAATTGTGCTTCTCTAAGACATCAACAGAAGAGGAAATAACACCTTAGATGATGTTAAAGACTGCACATGTATGCGTACATCAACTTTGCCCGTCAAATTTCTAAATAGGTTTTGAAAATTCAATTTTGCCCATCGAATCAGAGATAACTTTTGAATTTGAAACATATTCAAGGTTGGTATACCACAGTTAGTATCATCGCAGATAATGGAAAATCCCTATCATTTGGCTCTAGGTGAGAAAAACGATGTCAACACGTACCTGACATCGAGTACCAATGTAATACGTAGTTCAATCACGACACGTTATTGTATTTAGCACATTAAAGTACCAGTTCCAACTTCAACAAAACTTCTAAGCCCATACTGAGGGTCTTTTTGTGTCTTAAGGACGTTTGTTTAAGCACGGAGCTATCCATGGTTTAAGTAGGCGATACCACCAGCCATCAGTGACATTAAGCAGTATTCTTGCAGTGGTTCTACTGTTTCACTTTAAAGTACATAAACATACTGCAGCTCATTGTGTAAACCCTTCCTCTATTTTACAGTACGATTGTGAACGTTAGCTTCCATTCTATTGCGTCAAATGCTTTCAGTGGACTCACCAATTTGGAAGATCTGTAAGTTTGCTATTTTTTTAATTACATTTTGTTGATTCGTTCGTACAAATTCTACTACAGTGGAATCATTCCCGTTTTAAAAATACAATCATGTTGAGGATTGTTTTTTACAAGCCAAGTGTATAAATTTCTTCAACCATTTGATGCAGTTTCTGCGTTCCCTTGATATTGTGCGGCTTTATGCTCAAAAAGTTTAAAGGTAAACTGATTTCACGTCGCCTAAGCCATACGGAAACTCAACCAACACAACAAAACTCATAGTTCTACAAAAGTTCCACTTTTTATTTATTAATAGTTTTAATAATAGTTAAATTCAACACTTATTTCTGAACAACAAATAATTTCTGCTAAATCAGATCAAACACTTAATAGTATCAAATTTCCTGAACATAGAATGAGCAATAAATTTTAACAATGCACGTACACGTAGAACTGTACACTGGGATCCTGTATTTTTTCGTGTCCTTGCTGAGGTGATGCTTGGTTACAAGGAAAGGACTGTTCAAAATGATAGTTTCAATACGTGGCACCATGCCTCTACTTAGGAAATGCACAGTTTTAGTTTTAAAACATGTCATTTCTGATCATTTCCAAGACTGAATTCCGAAGAGTATGTCTTTAATATGTTTCACGGTCTGTTTCAGGCCTGTCGATGTTTCAACTTCTAGATTCAAAACTGTACCTCGTCATTACATGCATACCAGCTGCGGGAAATAAGAGGCTTTCAGGACTTAGCATTAACGTTCTTTCATGCATTTTGATAATATTAAAATCAAGCTTAAAGTGTAACTCCTCTCTTGTTGTCTAATGACACAACTGTAACCGAAGGGCCTCCTGCAGTATCTGGTCTTGGAAGCCAATGGCAGTTCTGCAGTCCATGGGTGCCCTTGCTTGTACTTTTGAAGGGACACAGACTGTTTGGGGGATCTGAAGTGATAACATGTTTTCCTACTTTTAACTCAGATACATACTTATTGAAAAATATTTTGCTTTCTTCCGTTTTTATTTGGCAGCTTGATTAATAGGGCCCGCTTCCACTCGATTGAATCTAAAGCCTTCAATGGATTTGACAGTCTCCCGTTACTGTAAGTTTCTGTAATTCCCAATTTTGACATAGACAGTAACACTGCATTACCTGTTTGCACTTTATAGCCTTAGTTAGTCCATTCCATCTAAAGGGTGGGAAATTCTGATTGTGGCATGGTGGTCATGCGATAGTGGTATTGTGGAAAATGCTCAGGCGTCGGAATTTTAGGGCTTGCCACCGTAACGTCGGTAAATTCTTGCATTTTTTCTTAACACGGGAAAGGTAATTATCCTAAACGATTTTAACAATTTGACCCGCATTGATGGGCTTAATTTACACCTCTTCATAATTTTTCAAAGGTAATTAAGCCTTGAGCTCTAATCACATCTTTTACTTCTAAGTAACCAGCTAGCTGAGGTCATGACTTAACTTTCATTACGGCAGCCAGTACAGGCTTCACAGGTTTTTTTCCGCAGCGGTCCATCAGTTACTTCCAAAAGAGGAGAAAGTCGGGTTTCATATTGACCTTAGACATTTTGAAGGCATTACGTAGGTTACAGTAGAAGTATGTGATATGCAATGGACTTGTATCCGCCTTGTCGAGGACCAACCATTTTGAACGGTCAGTACCATCTGCTTGTCTAATCCAATAATTAACAAGATAATTTTTAATTAGGGCCGTCTTGATTTTATCCTGTTTCCTAGATCAAACGAAAAGGTAGAGTACAGCAAATCACTGATTCGATTAATTTAGGCATCGGTACATGGTATGACGCTGCCATAGTAGGTCAAAGTACCTTAATAGGTGGTGTACACCATTGAAAAAATCCCGAAAATCGGACTACCGTATATTCCTGAAATATCTTACTTGAAAGAAAGTACATAACAGTCTTAATCCGTCTGTACAATAGTTCCACCCAGAATACTTTAGTTTTGGAGAAAACAAAAAAATTTTTGTCTTGTTTTACGATGGCCGACCGACTATCGTGATAGAGTAATTTCACTCATCGCACATCACATCCTTTAACATATGCCGATTTTCTCAAATGGAGTGTTTGTAGACGTTGTGGGAGTCACCTTTAACCCTACACGGCATTGCATCCTCTGATTTTCTTGGTGCCAGTTAGACGCTCCATTTTGGAGAGTGGTATTACAACTGTGTGAATTGTATTTGTTTGGACCCAAAAGCTGTTGTACATGGTTCAAAGTTGCTACATGGATGTCCTCCACACTCCCAAACAAAGAAATGGCATTGAATTTTTTTTAGGTGCTGGGGGTGGGTGGAGTTAAGTGCAACGGAGGTCTGACTGGCTATGAGCAGAGCTGATTTGGTTAATTCATGTCTAGACATGTGTCTCTATAGTCAGCCCAAGCCACAAACATCAAAGAGGCCCCACCCCATTGAAAGGGTCCTTGGAGGGCATTTCCATTGATAAATTACTTGGGACTCACATCTGGAAGATGTTTGTACACAGTTCGACGGGCCTTTCTCGGGGAGCGGCCCGATTATTTTTTTTCATGGCTAAGGGGAAGCCCCTGTGTATACAGCGACTAAAGCAGGCTTTTCAGCATGAACCGAGGTAGAATATAAAGGAAGGTTTTGATAGTTGGCGGTATTTCTTTTAATCAAGTAATTAGCAAAACGGCACTCCAAAATGGAGCGGATATTGCTGTAGGCAGGGTTAATGAACGGATAAACATAAAAGCAGCTGAAAATTCACCGACATTCTTTCACAAAAAGCACTGTGAACTGAGGTTACATAAACCTGAGAGTTAGACATAAAGTAGAAAATAAATTCGATCAGTGTCAAGATCAATTTCGTTTAAGGAAGGGTTTTTTAACAGGAACACTTTGCGAATTCAAAATCACCCCTAGATAATAATGGTATAATGCAATAGGGCGGCTGTTTCTGAGCATGGTGATTTTTTTCCATAAAAAGTACGATTTCCACACGTTAATCCTTCCTTGTTGTAAGACATAATTCTTTTTCACTTACACTTATTAATGAATCAACTGTGAATGGAGTTTATACTTTCATCAACGTGTGAACTGACATGAAAATGCCGTTATCAGCACGATAAAGCGCGCACGTGAATTATCATATAGGCTTATTCGTTTCAATGTCACGGACACGAGTCGAATGCTAGTGTGTTCCTGGATTAAAATTTTCCACGAATCCGCAATGCTACATTCTCGAGGAGGTGCATTACTCCAAGGTAAATTCATTGATTACTCCTAGCCGTTGAAACTGTTCTTTTTGAATGAGAACCTGTCATGCTTGTTTCCCAGCCTGATCCCGCGGACGATATTTGCTTGTACTACGAGCGGCTTATAATCCGTAGATTTTACGCTTCGATTTAAGCGTTGACAATGCTTTTTCTCGATTTTCCACAAAACAGTTGACTCAAACATGAAACAATTGAGTGGACTGTGAGTTGCAGTGAATATTATACACCGTATAATCAGCCAATCTTGTGAAGTTACGACAAAAAAACCAACGGTGTACACCACCAATTTTCCAACAAGATCTAAATCTTGGTCCTTCCCTTTAGTCAAGATACACTTCATCTTGTTCATTTTATGAGTCTTAGTGACATCCAGCGTAACGTTACTTCCCATGTAAACACCCATGATCTTCAAACTACCATTAGTCCAACCAAAGCCACAATGAGTGTCATGTCTAATTTTCCATTTGCCCAGCTTTTATTTTGACATTAACCTTGGAACCACACCCTTAGAAAAAATTGATAGAATATTTTCCAATCTATCGAGAATACTGTTTTTAGACACAAACCGTTGTATTCATGGATTTCTAAATATACTCTTTCTTAAAACAATCTGTCAGAACTTCAAAGGAAACCATTTTTTTAGCAAGGGCGAAAACCCTTGGTAAAACTCAATTGTTAGCCCATCAAGCCCAGAAGACTTGTAAATTTCTGTTCATCTGGCTCAATGCAAAGCTGATTTTGGAATCAGTGATATCTTCATTCTGCTCATTTAAATTTCTTAATTGAAATCAGCTATTTCAATGGCATTAAGAATGATTTCTGCGTTCCTCACCAGTATTTCATTCTGCAGACTTGTATCAAATTCATCAGCACACTTGATCCTTTGGCTCCTCTACCAAATCACCATATTCAGAAAAACTGGTCCTGAAACTGCTCTATCCTTCTCTACACTTATACCCCTTATAAGAACCTTTTCATATTCTTTGCACTCATACTCTTAATTTTCCCTCAGTGTCATGCAGCTCAACTGGATTATTTGCATCATGGTCAATGAGGAATTTGTATCTTTTCTGAATGAAAGTTTTCCAATGAGGAAGTCAATGTCGAAGCCAATGAGTCAATGAGGAATTTGTATCTTTCCTGAATGAAAGTTTTCCTTTTTTCGGTCCCAAAAGACTCATTCTCGACCATAATCCCCGATAATGTCCATAAACCCGCTTTTCTCAACCTCCCACCAACTAGAGAGTGTAAGGTATCCTTTGCGTTTTCCGGAGGTTTAAAACATAACAGATTCTGCTCTTGACTGCGTCATTCTACAGTGCAGAATTATTGTCTTTCTGGTGCGTCAACGATATTGACACCAATAATGTATAGCGGTCAGTCGGTTCTGATACAGAATTTGTAGGACCTTCAAACAATTGAGGTCATTGGGGTAACATCTTTCGGAATACCACACAGATATTTTATGTGTTATAAATCATTCAAAGTCAATTTACTCGTAACAAATATCATTATCTGTATTTCTGTTCTAATCACTTTCAATAGAGCCTGAAAGTTGACCCCAGGTGGCGCAACCGGAATCTTTGGAAAATAACGTACACGAATTTTTGAATGTGTAATAAGTTTTCATTCAGTTACTTCTTAAAAACTCTACTTGTAAAAAAAAGCCTTTTGTAAAATATTTGCCAGTATATCAATGTATGGAAACTGAAATAGTACCTGACCTAAGAAAAAAATCCTGCCAAAATTGAAATCACTAATATAAAATACACAAAGAACAGAGCAATTGAGTGGTCTCGTACGCGGGTGAGCAGTTACGGAATTATACGTTCTGGTAGTCTTTGGGTAAAAACAAAAAAAAATATGTATTTTGTAATTTACGAGGAAATAAACTTAAAGCAATAACCTGCTTAGCGAAACATTCTGATGTATAATCTAACCTTTGCTGACAATAACTGCATCAGGTCAACTCGACTGAAACTAGAGTCCGTCGCCTGCAGCTAGGTAAATTTTTGCAACCTTGTACAATCTCGTTTCCACGTAAGCCGAAAACAAACGTGCATGAACAAGGAGACCTAGGAACGAAACTGCCGGAAGCGAAAGGTCGTTAATGAAATTCTTTTGTTATTTATCTCCAGGTGACTTTTTCTTAATATTACTTGACGAAGACAAAGGGAGAATTTCGATATGAGTGTTTCTTGGGTGATTTCAGTTAGGAATAATTCTTCCAAAAATTATCGAACGTGATAGGACAGCCCCATGTAAAATCCCCATAGGCGGGCCCCATAGGGTTAGCTCACTGATAACCTTTTACTCTCAGGCCCTATAATCCATCCATTCACTCATTGAGTGAAGATGTCATCCAGTATTTTGAATAAATTTGACTCTGGTTCCGGCGAGTGCAGTTAGGAGCGTAAGCAGGGAAAATAGTGACCGATTTGTTATTCCAAAAAAGTCTCCCTTGACCCATCGTGCATCTTTCTCAAAATGACTATGGCTCAATTTGAGACTGGATTTAGGAGAACATGGCAATTCCAGCCAAACGTCGTTTACCATGGGTAAAGACAATATATTCCCTTCACAGTTTCCTCCAAATGAATCTTTCCCTTTTTCTCTGTATCAGTCTCTTTGAGTAAAATACATCAGATTCCCTTAAAAGCAACATTTCGTAGACACTTTTGCTTACATCTGTAACAAAATGGCTTATACAACTTCAGTTAAAAGATGACATTCTTATTTATGTATGGGCGCAGAGCATGCGCAAGACCAGTTTACTGATATCCGTGTAGCATTAAAATTTAGCTGCGTAGTTCCCCACTTACAAGTGTTCGTGTTTAAGGCAGCGCAGGACTGGTGCGAGTTTATGCTACGTCCACGATATGTCAAACCGCGCGCTGGAGTCTATCTTCGAGGCCTGGTCTGGAGAGAAAACCGTGTGTGTCCGCTCCCGACAGGGCCATTCCGTTCCCCTTTTGTGTGCGCTACCGCAGTGAGATTCGAGACCGCGGGAAATTCAGGTAATGGTTCAGCAACCTAAGCAACCAGTTATAGCCTAAGTCCACAGTAGATGACTTTCATTGGTGAAGTGTCCTATTCTAAGGATCAGTCAGAAAGGACCCTATGTAGGAAAATACTGTGTGGGTTAGGCTTGTGGGCAGAGTTTCCGAGGTCTGACCAAAGCTCACCATCCAGGAAGGTGGTAAAAGAATGAACAAACAGTGTGTCAGCAGACGCCACCAGATACCCTTTTTTGGCATAGATCTCGGGTGCAGTCACCTAAAGGAGGAGATGCGGATTGCGGATAATTGGTTGCGCCACAAACCAACGACTTTGACAGTTGGAAGTAGTTTGCCTGGGCCGGCGAAACCGAGGCTGGTTCGATTCGAATAAACGTTACACGTTGCTCCAACCACTGATTTTGACAGTGGCTCCTGTAATAACTCCTAAGAAACTTGTGAGCAAGGGAAGAGAGGCAATCGAGTTAACCGAATAGGCAGTGGCATGGATGATGGTATTTGGCCCTTCCTCTCCCCCAACCTGAATGCCTTGGATTACTGGATATGTGAGAAAAGAGGTCAGGCTTTCTTTCAAGGATGTGCATTTTTGCGATTATGATTGGCAACTCGCCTGATGTATGGCACAAATCTTCCATGGTGTATGATTCGATAGTGTTGTAAGAGTCAGAGTTTTTTCCGGTTGTACCCCCCCAGCCTGTTCGTTAGTTCTCTTTGGCATTTCCCCTGCATGTGTTTCAGTCTCCATTGCAGTTTCCTCATTCCTCATTTTTCCGTCTGCTGGATGTGTTTTAGCCTTCATTGGAGATTCCTCTTTTTGAGTTTGGTCCCCGTCTCCGCTTTTGCCCGATTTCCTTCTCTTTCGGGCCCCTTCGTGTGGTTCCATTGTACCCATTCCTTGTTCTTCCGGATAATGAGTTAGGAGTGGGTTTGAATCCTTGGTGATTTAGCTGTATACTTCATTCTGAGCTGTTTCCTCGACACCTTTTCCCGGGTTACTCATTGTTGGTGAAGTTTGCCATGGGTAGTTCGTTTTTTCCTTTCTCCCTAGGTTTGTCTCATCGCTCTCGAGCTTCTTTTGATCTGTTTCCTTGCCCTTTCCCTTTTTGCCTGCCTAGTTTTCTGGTTATGTTAAACCTTCGTGTCGCTGTTGTCTCCATGATTGGCCTCATAACTTTCTTTGTGTGTCGAGTATTCGGTATCCGGTTAAGCATGTATAGTGAGGACTGGTTCTTATATTGTCTCTCTTTGTGTGTTTTAGTAGCTGTGATCTTCGTTATGCCATGAAGCATGATGGTCATTAGTGCCACAGTTATAACATTTGCTTCTAATGGGGCACTCTCTAGTAAATTTCCGGCTCGATCACACATTTTTATGATTTTGAAGAGGTTAAATAGGTCGGTCTGGCATCCTAGTTATTGATTTGATATGGGTAGGGCTACATCGGTTTGTGTTAGGGTGGAAGGTAGTTGGGTGGTTGTAATTGGTCGGTGGGTAGGTTGGTCGGTCAGTTGGTTTGGTTGACTATCATCACATGTATTATGCTTTTTTACACTGCCACCGTGACCAAGGAACGAGCTCCAACGTTTATCTGACGGTGGATGGTTGTTTTAAGTTGCTGGGTGTTGGGACCCTAGATCCGTCAGTGATAAGTTTGCAAGGACCCTGAGCAAATTTATCTTCATGCGAGTGCATACCTTAGTTTGCCATTCCTTCTTTTATGAAACGCGCTGGCCTCGATTCTGTTGAGCCTTCAATAAACTCACTAATCTCCAGTCGCTGTCAGTATGGTGCGGTTTCCGATTTTGTTGTCAGAGAGAAAATGCCTAACTCTGTTTGCATAGCAAGTTGTTTGAATGGGCATCTGTTTTCGTTTCGAGGGCGCTGTATCTTCCGATTAAACTAAAATGGATACACCATTTTTGTTGGCCATCATCATCGAATGATGGAACTGGAATGGGGGGTTCTACATGGTGTATACTGTTTTAAATGCTATTATATCTATTTGCACGTTTCAACTCCAACTTTAAGTTAGTTGGTATCTACACCGGATTTTTTCAAGATGTATTTTTTTTGCGTTGGGGAGATGTTAATTTTATATAAAAGGTTTTGCCCTTACCCAACGTATATCAGTAAGCACTGTATGCTCAGTGCTTGTCCGAGAGCTTGCGAAAAAAAAACCTCACAAGCTTACTCGGGTGGGACTCACACTTACGAACCGGATGCTGTGAATACAAAAAACCACGCCTTCTTTTGTTCCGCTCGGAGCGGATACAATATTTGATTCAAATAGTCTGGTTCCCTGCCCAAAGAAACCTGTTATATAAAATCTATACCGGAGCTTGTTAAACAGAAAGGGAGCCTTTTTACGAAACAAAAGTAAGCTTCAGTGTAGTCAGGAGTGAATTATTTGTCCTTATCGGTTCAATTAAACCTCGTGCCTTCGGCTCGCTCTGTAGTCTCCAGCCTGCAGGTTAGTTGTGGCTCCCGGGTTTCATTGTATCAGAGAGCAAGCCTATTCTTCATAGAAGCTTAACATCACCACATATCAGTATTACTGTACCCCTGCCCCCCAAACCCTCAGGAGCAACATTTCCGTATGTGAAGTTACTGCTCTACGCTGGCCCACAATTATCACGGCAAAAGCGAAAGTGTCATGGCAAAAGCAAACACACAGGCTTGGTTCCGGTGGGGATGGATATCAATTCTGGTCTACGCGCTCGTACACACAAAACAGGACAATATTTTGGTTTCAAGGATGGCATCCTGCGAGCATATGACGATGTAACCTGTTTTTAACTGACATTAAACAAAATCTGATGGGCCTAGTCCCAACCCCGGGAAAATTTCTCGGTCCGCCCCCGATGCATGTAGCACCTACACTACGAACATCTAATAAAAGAAACACAGTCCACTAACAATGAACATCCATTGTTATTTCACCGCACTTCTTTTGTTAAATGTTCGTAGTGCTAGAAGGCCGATTTTATCGTGGGACTACTACTATGCTCACACCTTGCGGTGAAAATAACACCTTGCTAGCCACAATAGCATAATGGTCAATTAGAGTAGAATAGCCGGAATCATTATATTAAATAATGAAGTGAATTAGAAACAAAAACCACCAATATACACAAACAAGCAATTGCACCACCGAGCTCCAGATGCGGAGTTTTAAAACTCCTGTTCTCTGGGAAACACTTGAACATTTAATGGGCCGGCGGGCGTGTGTGTGTTGACAAGTGTTACGCATCCACAATGGTGGCCTTGCATTAAACCAGTATTGACTTCCTAGTTAAGTGTAGTACTTTTAAATCTAAGAAAATTTCACTCCTACTTTTTAAGAATCTCATGCATATGTGCAGGTACCACCACTAGTGTAAAAATAACATCGACCTATGGCCTGTATTTTTCTCAATACTGGTCGCGAAAAACCCATAAAAACTACTTCAATCCATCAGCAAACAGGCCCGTCGTCCATGAAGCTGTATAAAGCCATGCAAGTAAGAAGTGAACACAATTAATTTTTGCTCGGACTGGTAGAAATCAGTGTAGGCCCCTGTGAGTATTCAGGTTTTCAACTATGTTTTCTTTCCGTTCTTTACAGGTCTATGACAAACCTTATAATTGATTCCATCGAGTCTAATGCCTTCAGTGACTTCGCCAGTATGAAGCTCCTGTGAGTTTGTTTTGGTTCCCTTTCGCTGTTGCAGGGCAGCATAGAAAACACTGCAAAATTCGTTTTCAATAAGGTCTAATAGAATCGTACGATGCTACAAAGTACCCTTAATGCTTTTTCCTTTGCAGTACATATTCAGATATCATTATCGGGCCCTACTTGTAGCACAAACCCACAACTTGTATAGAATTGAGTTGACAGAGATGCAACGACTAATTTCCATTGAATCAATAATCTGCTATAAAACTGTTTAATTTTACATGAAACATCTCACCTCCACCCAAAATGAAATATTGCAATACAATACAAACACTAAGGTGATGAGTGTAATCAGATTTTTAAAAAAGGTTTGGGGAGGCGGTCTTCCATTCTAGGAGTTGAACAGTACCATAAAGGGTTTCTCGCTCGGTGTGACCTTGATAATTCTGCTGTCACCGTCGAATCAGCAATACCACATTTTGTAAAGCAGATATAGACAATACAAAATTGACCCTTGCCCTGAATCGTCCAACTTGTACTAGTCTTTCCGATTCTGAAGCTAACTGAATGGATTGTTTTAGGCGTACAATCACCCCCGATAGCGCCGAATGTGCCTTTAATACGATCGAAGCTATGATGGCTTTATAACGCAGGAACAAGAAGTGTTCAACATTTTGTGTGGGCTGAGTAAATATCAGTATTACCGTACTCCTGTCGTTCGCAAACCTCTAATCCCTTGGTAACTTTTCCGATCATGAACACCACTGACTCTTGTCTACGGTTTTCCTTGATGCAGAAACGACATTTTTTGTAGGAATCGTATTCTTGATTGCTTGTGGTCGGGCATGGCCAAACTGCAAATGACCAATTTTCGCTCGGACTGCTTGATATTAGTAGGTGTGTTTATTGTTGTTTGTTTCATCCTCTTCAGGCATATTGAAAACGTCACCATAAATTCCATCAAGCCAAATGCCTTCAGTGAGCTCTACAGTCTAAAATACCTGTAAGTTTGTTGTTAGTCCCTTTCACGAGTATTGGGGATTTCTTTCAATAAAGTCTATTAGAATAAGTTGCAGGAGACTTTTTCTTTTGTATGTCCTATTAAAATATCAATATTTGAACAAGCTTGTAACAAGAAATCGTGTATCAACAGAAGTAATCGTAGTAGACGGAGATGCAAATGCTAATTTCTATTCAATCAATAATTTGCCACAAAACTGATTAATTTTACTTGCAGCATTTCATCTCTCCCAAAAGCGAAATAAAGCGATGCAATATTATCATGATTACAATAAGCGTATTCAAATGGATGAAAAAATTGAACAGTTCAATTAAAGATTTTCCTTTGAGTCTTAGTGCACTGGTCTTAAAATGCTTTCGAATTTGCCGTAAAACCCATATAACCCAATTTAAGATGTTTCATTGCGGTGTGTCTGTTTAGCTATTCATTTTCTGGTTTTTCACTTGTTCGTACAAGATAATGTTTCAATTCAGCATGCTACGTGAAAACATCGGGAATTTGTTATTCTTTGTTTGACTTGACAGTTTGATGCAGAATGTGACGGTAAATTTTATTCCTTCCGGTAGCTTTTCTCCTCTCTGGAATCTCCAAGGGCTGTAAGTGTATATTGCTTTCAATGAATACTAATCTCAGTAAAGATGCATGAGCGATACAAATTCAGTAGCTATAACGGTTAGTCAATTCCCTGTGGCGAAGATATAGACAGCACATGACGTCTTCTGATTTTCCATTGAGACAATCAAAGAAGCATTGATTTCGGTGTGTGGACCCTTTTCCTGCATATCTTTCTAATTATTTGTCGAAACGTCGTAAGCAATAAAGCTTTATTAAACAGGAAGAAAGTCAAGTCCAAAACCAAACCTCTGTAATATCCCACCACTGGCTGAGTGTTTTATCCCCTGCCTGTAGGTGTTGCTGTGCCTTTTCAGACTATGACTAACAAGTGAATTGGATGGGTTGACTCATACTTTCAAACCTGTAACTACCTAGCGCGGGATCGGACAGGCAATCAATGCTTAATTATATAAAATTGCTGGGCTTATTCCTATCAAATACATGAATATATACCAACTTTGAAACACCTACCCAGTGGGACGCAGTATAGGGCGTATTATCAGAATCAGTAGGATGCATTGGATTTCTTTTCATACGGTTCAATTTGTAAATTCTGAATGAGCCGAGGAAACATTTCGGCGCTATATGGGTAGGATACACTAAGGCAGGAGGGAAATAACCCCAGGATAAAAAATTCTCCAAGCGAAAAATGTCACGATCAAACTTGAAACTTTCACTCCCGATGCCTCTGGTTGTGATCTAAACTTTGTGCAGCGCTTGTACAACTAGCTCTCGTGGCTACCCTTTTGAGCTTCTTTTCAAAAACACCTGATCGACTGACTGACAAAAAGACCGACAGAATGACCTACGAACAGACATCCAGCCTGACAGACAGATAGCAAACGCCAAAAACAAACAGCAAACAAACAAAACAAATAGAGTGAATGGTTGTGAACAACCACGGAGCTGTTTCGGAATTTTCATTTTTCATCCTTATCATTTTGGAAAAACAGATCAAATTCATTCGTTGAAACTATCTGTAAGAAAAATTTTCCTCTGATTTGTCTGAAATTCTCACAGTAATCCCCAGGCGAACCACTGGTAAGATCGATAAAAGTGCCAAGTGAAAGAAATGTACAAAACCTACGGAGAAAAATGCATCTTTAATCTCTTGTCATGTGACTCCCGATGACGTGAACGTGACGATTTTATTTTGACAGGCCCACGGTTGATGGACTACTTATGTTCCCAATAAAAAGTCACTCAGATGTATGAGCGCAACAGTCTTCGACTTGAGAAAACGTGCACAAAATTTTTGGAGAAAAACGGCACTCTAAAGTCATGTCACGTGATTTGCATTTATATGGAAAAAGTCAAGAAATACTATTTGATATTTGAACTCTTTGGTATATATTTACTCAAACAAACACCGAAAAAATACGATTTATCTGTCGTTCTCATAGTAGTCTTCAGCTGAAGTGCAGGACTACTTTCATTATGAGTGATAATGTTGCGATGTAGAAGAGCGTGCACAAAGCCTATGGGTGACTGCAACTTCAATCTCATGTCACGTGACCACTGACGACGTTGTCGTGACGATTTTATTTTGACAGCTCCACAGGTTGATGGACCACCTATATTCCCAATACAGAGTCACTCAGAAGTTTGAGTGCACCAGTCTTTGACTTGAGAAAAACGGCACCTTTTAAAATTAAAAATCATCCAAAAGTGAAATCACTAAAATATTCATAAACTGACGTAGAAAAACTTATAACCATGACCAAAACAAACAAGCAGCCACCAAAAACAAGTATCGAAAAGGATAGGATAAACATTGATGGCAGGGATATAAAAATATTTACAATTATAATGTACAAAAAATATTTACAATTATAATGTACAAAACCTGATATGTAAAAAGGATAATTTAAGATACATGTATATTAAGAACCAACGCTCATAGACCAAAAACATACCATCGGTCATTGAATAAAGATTGCATTTTACATTGTCTGTGTGTTTAAAAGCTTTCTACACCTGTAGCTGGCAAAGAATATGGACATCCCGAAGTAGAAGCTTTAGAAATTACTACTTCTTTAAGAACGGTACTGATACGTTTTGTTCTTTTTATCATAACAGTGAAATAATCAGATGCAATAGTAATTTCAGAACAACGCAGAGAACTTTAGTAGTTCGTTGAACCGAAGAAATCCGGCAAATGCTAAAGTTATCACAACTAGATCTCTAATAACTAATAGATCTGTTTCTTCGGCACACTTTTCACAAAGCTTGACCAACATCTCAGATGATACTGCATCGTTTTTCCGCGTCATGTGCCCGGTTATACGTTTAGCTGATTCCTTGAAAATTAAGGACGAATGAACTATTTGCTGGGTCAACAAACCATTCCTTTCATGCACCCATTTAATGCTGTATTTTAGTGCAGCAGAAATAACATGGTGGGATGCACCCGAGTCCAGGAGCTCCGTCAGATACACGGCGATGGTAATGGGCAGGGCTGGTAATGGGGTGTAACCAGTTTCGGTACAAAATCTCTGCCATTTCTTCAATCCCCGACGTACGTTTTTGAACACCGTTGCACCACTCTTGGAAAGCATAAGATGATGCCACACCTGGTCAGTTAAGTTGTCATCTACCACTTTACCTGCCTCCAAAGCTGCGAGACACTGTGCTGCAATCCTATCTCTGTCAGAGAAAATGGAAGTCACAATCAATGTTCCCTCCCAGCAATTACAAATTCAAATAACTAGCTTCAAAGCTATCAACTTGAATTTCAGGGGGTCGTCAGAGAAAAATACCATCATATCGTTGACTTTTGAGGATGACTTTCTCTTGTGGAAGTACTATACTCTTGTCTGTAAACGACTTAAAATCTTTGCTTTCAGTAAGTAAAAACGGCCAAAAAGGTGCCCATTCCCACATTGGAATGATTAATGTGCCCTTAATTAGCTCTGGCAACAATACTTTCAGAATTAATCTTGGTGGAGTTACAAGTCAGGTATTCTCATTAGCCCACATCTGGCTAAAAGCGTCAACTGCCTCCGTTCCTTGACACCACCACCTCAAGGTAAACCTTTTATGTTGTTTGTTCAAATTAGATGCAAATGTATCCACACTATGTGGTCCCCATTCTCTACCAAGTGATCTGAAAAACCATGGCTGTATTCTCCAATCATCACTCTCCACAGTTCTGCTCAGCAAGTCTGCTTGCATATTGCTTTTCTTTGTATCCGTGCATTCTGGATCAAGAATTGTCGAATTCATTTCACAAAAGTTGTTAACGTCCACAGATATTTCCTGCAAGTTAGACTTTTTGCTACCATTATTTAACACTTACGTCATCTTTTTATTATCAGTGAAGCACTGAATTTTTTCAATAACTTCTCGTTACTTTTGAGTACTCGGGATACCGATTCCAATTCTCTCCAAGTGGAACTATTTTGAGCTTCGTTTTTACCCCATGAGCCTACCACTAGGCCTACACTACTTTCCACAAGCCTTTCTTGGCCAACAGATCTTCTAACGCATACCTGTACGTCATCACGGCCTGCCATTGAGGCTCCCGCACAAAGGGAGTTCATACTGCCACACCCTAAAGTGAAAATATCACTGCCTTCAGCAAAGGCTGCCACACAAGCAGCATCTACAGTAATACCCTCCGCAGTGGACGAATCATTGGCCTTTGTAGAGGTGCTCTTACAAAGAGCGTTCTTTTACGCACATCAGTCATCACTGAAGTCAAGGCTCCCGCACAAAGGGAATTAGGATATATGCTTTCAGTAACAGCTCCCCCGCAAAGGGAGACATCCCCCTCTCAAAGAGAGAGACATAGCCGCCATACCCTGTGGCGGATGCATCACTGAATACTTTAATCGCACTCGATTCTTGGCTTTTAATACTTAAGCCATGAAGGTTAACATTTCTGCAATTGGGAACCATTCTTGGTTTTCCTGTCTTGTTATACGCCACCGTTAACGGATTAACAATGACAGGTTGTGAGTCAACCTCCGAGATGCAACCTTTTGCAAGTAGTCTCTGTATCCCCCTTAAACAACGAAGTGGAATTTTCCTTAGCAGACTTTTTATTATCAGAAAATATGACATCAGGCGCCGTTCGCAAAGGAATTTTACATCCTTCCAGCAAAAAACTTCTAATGAATGGAATAACTCCAATTTTTCCCACTGATGCAACGCTTTGCCTAATCTCCCAATGGTGACATCTTAACCAAACTCTCACCACGGTAACGCCTGCCAAGTTGCAAATTAGAGTCAGATTTTTCCATGCCTTCTTGAGCAATTTTGCCATCCATGTTATCTACATTATTGCTTGAAACACTTCCAAAAAACGTATCCACCTTGATTGCATCCATGTTTTGAGTACTCTCATACTTCCAGTGACCGGCTTGTCCGCAACCAGAACAAAGCCCTTGCTCGCTCTTGCCGACTGTGGACGGCCGGGGTACTGCCAGGAAGCAAATCTGGTGGGTTTTCTGCTTCTCTTGACCCGTTCAGTCTTAAGCCTCTTAGTGGCCCTGGCTTCAGCCCTATACATCTTCTTCTTGTCTTCTGAATCCGACGCCAGTGGGTTGGTTTCATATTTCTTTACTACGCTCCACACCAGCTCCGAAACATCTGCCATTTTGATTAGTTTTTGTCTATGATTTATTAACTCTATACCCTCAGGTATATACTTCGATGCTTGCTGTATTTGAGCTTCGTCCTGCAGATTCAACTCGGTGTCTCTCAGCTTAGAAGCAACTTTAACATTAAACTTATATTCATGTTCTCAACTCTTGCGTTTGAAAGTGTAATTGTCATTGGTCAAAATACTGTTCTGTATTTTTACAAGCTGACTGCTGTTAAGCTTGCTCTCAAATGTAGATAGTTTGACGATATCAACCAGTCAAGCTTTTCAAGCCCCTCAAGAATTTCGATTCGTTCATATATCTTACCTTCCAAGCTGCTTACTCTTTGTTCCAAAGTTGATTGGTTTTTGTCCTTGGTAGCCATTTCCTGCAAAGGAACTAAGCGAGGCCGATTATCCGATCCGGTATTGCCTTCAGTCAAGAAAATATCTTCTTCTCGCTGTGCAATTTTTAACGCTGCTCGAAAAGTGCCCGGATTTGCGCGACGAACTTCGGCACGAATGGCTTTCGGACGCAGAGCATCTACAAAATGGTAAACAGCAAGGTTCTCTCTGTTTTCAACGTCTATGCACGGGTACGCATTCGACATTTGGCTCCGTTTGTCTTGAGCTAACGCAGCCAGTTTTTCGCCACTTTGCCTCTCACGGAGTTTTAGGCGTGAACGGTTGGTATCTGCCGAATGACTAGGGCTGAAATGTGCACGAAACTTATCAAGTATTTGACCGTAATTCAACTTACACGTATCAGACAAGTGTCTGGGCCTCTCCCCTTACGCTAATGATTAATCTTATCATCTGTTTTCCATTTGTTAACTATGCTTCACAAATCAAAATGTAAAATCCAGTCTTTACAATCAGTGGTTCCATCATAGGTCCCCGCAGTGCGGTGATGTGATCCTTCTACAAAAATTACTTTTGGATCTGCTTTTTTTTCCCGAACCGTAAGGTTATCATAAGAGGGCCTCAAAAGACTGTTATTAGGCCCACTAGCTATCGGGTGTTCGGGGGTCGGAGGATTTTGTTCAGTTTTAGATCCGATAGCCAGTGGAACCTGCTTTTCAGCTGATTCCAGCACCGCTTCATTATACAAAGAACTAATTTCTGCCTCAGGTCCTGCTATATCCTCACTAGCCTTTTCAGCAACACTACTCCGGAGGTCGGAAATATCATCATCTGAAAGGACAATACCATATGTTCTCCTGTGTGCCATGTTAAAAGAAAAACCCACCGCTGCCACCAAAGATTTGTAATGGACCGAGCGGTAACTAATTGACTTAGCGGTGGGGCGCCGCCTAAATGGGCTGCGACTGACAAAAAAAAAAAACAGTAAACGAATATTAAGACACATTTAACACACAAAAAAAGCACACAGAATTTCTAGAGGGCCCTCCAGACGTTGTAATTTTTTTAAACTAATACTCATCTATTATAAAGAAGGAGAAAAGTATGTAGGAAAAGGTTGTGTAGTGTTTAAACAACCTAAGGGCGTGGCCCGATATAAGTGCACTGGGTTAGAGTTAAACGTAAAAACAAGTAGGCACAAATCCGATGAAATGGTTCTAGGGGCTGGAGGCAATAGGCACAAATGTGCACACAACAAAAAAAAGAAACGAGGCCAAATGAAATTTGGGGAGGAAAGCAAATAAATTTACAGAGACTTATCTGTACCGACGAAGAAAACTAAAGATCCCCAAGCCTATGAGTTCCTCCGACCCACGCGGCCAGTTGGCTTTGGCAAAATGACCACACCCCAAGCTAATGCTACTGGCTTTTATACAGTCAACGCGATCTGCCTGACTGATTATCAATGGAAACTATGTGAGAAACTATGCAAATGTATTGACAAAAGCGGTATGTACCTTACCCCAGTACACAGCAGTACCTAAAGAGTGGAAGGAACTTCGGAGGCCTCACCCAGCGTAGGTAATATATGCACCAATACAATTACATTACAACCTATTTGTTATAATATACGGAACCCAACGCCCCATTACGCAACGAGCTATGCGTTGCTCAAATTCGTAAGACAATAGTTTCCCGCTATTATCCGAAACGCAGGAAACAAATATGAAGAACACCATCAGTAAAATATGAAGAAGTTTTTTTCTGGGCTGAAAAAAAGTAACTACTGTCATTGTTTCCAGGCATGTCTTTTTCAGAAAAAGGTGTCGATTTCAAAGCTTAAATGGATCATTTCGTTGTCAAATTGAAAAGAACTCCCTTCAACCAGTGTTCAGACCATTCAAACATCAAACCTTCCATAGCGAACACAAGCTACAATATGCTCATCCTTGGGCACACATTACGGTCATTTCAGTGGGAGCTACACTGCTCCATGGAGGAAGGACACAGGAGGAGTTGTAACTCAGGCACCTTCAAAGCGTCCAATGATGACGAATAATAGAAAATATTCCAAAAATGCCTTATTGCTGCCTGCATCTTAGCTGGACAAGTGGGGCCAGTAATATCCTAGCAATACTTGTAGGTTTTTGCTTGCAATTAAATATTTGTATTTAATTGCAAGCAAAAACCTATTAGAACTACTTTTGCCATCGTAAATAAACGCTTAAAATTTTGACTCACTGTTTCATTATCCATGCAAAGTTTGTAATTCTAGTCTCCTCCGTCCAATATACATCAGTGTCAAAGACTTGGAACGAATTTGGCTAAGACTGGCCAACAAAATGTTCACTACTACTGGAAAGCTTAGTTCAGTAGCAACAAAATGCGCTATTTCATCACAAGGAGTGATAGCGAAATCTCATAAAATATGCCTTTGTACAAATGCCATAATAAAAATGATTCAAACAAAACACGAAATCACAGCTTGGCTATTTATTCCTAAAAGAAGTCCAGAAGAAAGCGTTCGAGAAGGGCAACAACTGCACATGAACACTTCGGGTATACAGCCTAATAAAAGCAACTGCGCAAACACTACATTTGATGATGTTGTCGGATCATATCAAGCACCAACGATGGCATGAATATTCAACTTCCTATACTGCAGTAAACAACGTTTTAGGGATGCAGATTACCAACGAAAAATTGCGGCGACGATCATGGGGTACAAAGGGAGCTTATGGTAGCAAAACAGATGATGGGTAGCAGGCGTGCGCTGTGCTCTGGCTATGGACTTACCGGGCATGCCAGAAAGTGGTAATCGGCTTGATGTTATAGACCGGGCAGTTCAAACTCCTTCTGTGTCCTTTCTCCATGACTGCTCTAATCAGTACGCGGAGCACCACCTTAGAGTCTTGAATTCCGATGATTATGAAGTGTAACAACCTCGACTCCTTAACTTTTGGCGAGATGTTTTTAGTAGCGCTGAATTTTGAGTCTCAGTAACCGAACTCGAAGCAATCGTCCTAGCCTAAGTATACGGACAATTCAGACTTAAAAGAAGTCTTTGTTGACAAACAGAATTTGGTTAAGAATACGAGTTTCTTTTATTCTCAAAACCTCGCCTCATGCAAAGCTCCTCACAGTCAAACAGGGAGTTGGTGAGGAAAATCCTCCTGTTTGCTAACGAGTATTTCACCGCAGCAAAATTCTCAAATCAAGTATTTTCTTAATATGAAAACACTTCACAGGCTCAAAGCATCGAGGTTGGTCTCATCAGACTTTGGCTCTCTGCTCGCAAAGTTCCAACTCGATTTCTCAACACACTTTCAGGGTTTTTATACTCTACAAATCTACGGTTTCAACATAGTTACTGAATATAAGTCACAAGTAAATTATGCAGCAAGGTTACATCACCCTGCTCTAAATTGATGACTATTTCCATTGACCAATCAGAATAAAATCAAATGATTTAAACTTATGACTTATATGAATTTCTTGATAAAGTTCCACCCTTTCATTTTGAAGAAATACTATTCCATGAAACAAGGAAAGTTGTGGGTGCACTGGCCTCCGCCCCCACATTCCAAGTAGCTAGCCAAGTTTTATCAATAGGTCAACTGGCCTTGGTGAACATCTGGTGTTTGACTCATTGACCACTACACTTTTCTGGAAACCTGTTCTCAAAATTGTTACAGGGAGATAATAGATGGAATGGACAGTGTGCTGTACTGTAATCAATACAGATTTGTATATAGTGTGTATGATTTCTACCGATGTTCCCTTCAGTCATGCGTGTTGTTTGGGCTGTAATACAGACATACAAATCGTGTGTAACAACACGACTATTTAAAAATCCGGCGAAATTTTAGTCGAGAGATCAGTGAATGATAGACAAGGAAAATGGCCAGCTGTTTGTCATCTATATCGATGACTAAAAGTTTTTAAGGTCATTTCCCCCTAGATCCCCGCTGAATGGAGCACGCGCATGATGGTACGCGAATAAAGAAACTTCACGAGGGTGTCCCTGTATGTTGGGGAAGATATGTGTTTCTATTTTCAAGGATGGTTTGTGCCCGGGAGATGTTAATTAATTTAAGATTTTTGCCCTGCCTGACGTGTATAATTACACTGTATACCCAGTGTTTGCCCCCAAAATAGTGCAAAATAGTGTAGAATCAAAGCAAAAAGCAGTCTGATTAAGACAGTACCCTAAACAATATACATGCAACTGCAAGGAAAGTTGTGTGAATGTGCACTATACCATTGATTTTTTTGGTAAATAATTATTATCTTTTTTCAGTCTACTGCTCAAAATATCTGGGACAAGGTCGTGGGCAACCATCGAAAAGGGCGCCTTTGAAGGTCTAATCACCTCCAAAATGAAGTGAGTTTTCAAGCTATATGGGGCCTTCAAGTCGTAACTCGTGGAATTATTTTTTAGTGCATATCTATGAAATATATTGTGTAGTTTTTTCTATTTCTGATATACATAACTGCTCTATAGATTCCATAGATTTCCCAGAGAGTTTCATTAAATGTTCTCAACGTTCTGCTTTTAGCTTTGTGTTTAGTTATCTTTTTGGATAGTTTGCGTTTTCAGAAACAAAACAAAAGCTGACAACAACGAGAAAGATTTGCGTTTAAGCAGTTTGATTACTCGTTGTTTGCAAAATATGTGCCGATTTGTTCATTTATGTCTAATATTTTAGGTTGTTTATACTCTTTCAATCTTAACCATGCTTTTGCTTTAGGATGGAAGTGCATTTCGGAATATTTCATCATTTCATTGTCCATAATCCACTTGGATTATATTCACAGCCTCTGAGTAATTTCACAATTTGAGTAACTACATAATAATACCAATAAAGCGAATCCTTGAATGAATCCAAGTCGGTTTAACATTAAACATTTCTTTCCCCTCTGGAGAATTCAAATGTGCTTTACATGTAGTTGTTAATGTAATGCACATTCAGTTCAGTTTTTACCAAGGTAGAAAGATCAAATGATACTTGTTACCGTGTTTTGTTTCCTGTATATTCATTGCATTTAAGGTCTAATCCCATCTGGATGCTGTTTCAACAGTCAAACAATTTTCTAATTACTATTGCAGCTGGATAGTCACCGATGACCACCGTCTGTGCTGTACTTTCTCCAATTTGCAAAACTACTCTGTAAGGGACGACTGCCTGACCACAAACCTTAAGCCAGACTTAAACCTGTGCGACAGCCTTATGCCAAACAACTCATTGCGCGTAGCACTTTGGGCACAGGGAATAAGCGCTCTCATCGGTAATCTCTGTGTTATTGTTTGGAGGCTCGTGCAGAAAGGTGACAGAGAAGGCAAAACGACGTTATCTTTTATGGTCGGCAATCTAGCCGCAGCAGACTTTTTGATGGGTGTGTACATGTTAATTGTGGCAGTTGCAGATCTGAGATTTGGCGAAAATTACTTTCTGGAGGCCCCCGAATGGCGTTCCAGCACACTGTGCAAAGTCGCTGGAGTTCTGGCAGTTCTGTCCAGTGAAGCTTCGGTGTTTTTCATAACTCTAATCAGTGTTGACTGTTTCCTTGGTATTGTATTTCCGTTCAGATCCTTCAGTCTCGGGAAAAGGTCAACAAAAGTCATTGTTTTCGTCTTATGGTGTCTGGCACTCTGTGTGAGTGTCATCCCAACAGTGTCTGTTGGTCCTGACTCAGATGCATATGGACTTTCGGACGTCTGTATGGGTCTTCCTCTGTCCATCAAGTCATCAAGGGTGGTAGCTGAACCCCCGACGTTTAATGACAGTGATCCTGAGTCCTTGACATCTTACATACCAGAAAAGGTTCTTAAAGCAAAAGCGTGGAAGCCATCTTGGATCCTGTCAATTGTACTCTTTCTTGGCGTCAATCTGATTTCATATCTGTTTGTACTGTGTTGCTACGTCGCCATTTTCATCAGTTTCAAGCGGACAGCCAGGACTGTCCGAACGGAGGCAGAAAGAGACCGTGAAATAAAAATGGCGGTCAAAATGTTTCTGATTGTGGCGACCGACTTCTGTTGTTGGATGCCAATAATCATAATGGGTATTCTGTCCCAGTCAGGAGCAGTCGTGCTCTCTAGCAACATGTACGCATGGACAGTGGTTCTGATTCTACCAATCAACTCTTCCCTCAATCCCTATCTGTACACGTTTTTCACTGTCTGTTGCGCGACTAAGCCAAAAGGAAAAGCCATCCAATCCAAAGCAAAGAGCAGGAAAAACAAAGCTAAGTAAACGTGTGCACGAGGCACAAGCACATGAATCTTTGACTTAAACATGTTTGGGAAGCGAGGTTAATTGTTACCTGGAAAGGTTGCTCAAGTGGCTTTCTTCCTCACCAAAAGGCTGATAGGTGTTAGGACCTTGGGTATTGATCTGGTTTCTTTGTATCCGCTGAAAACTCAATACAGGAAAAAGTAACAAAACCATTTTGAACCTATGTGTCAAACTTGCTTCATTTCAGTTTCGAACACAATGTTGACATTGGTACAAAATACCTGCATATATTGTTTTATTCACCTTGCATGTAAGCAAAGGAATACAGCTTTAAAAGGATTAGAGCTTATTAACAACATACCAAAAAGAGGCACACGTCACCAAAAGTACATGCAAACATGCATGTAATAATGAATACTTGAACGAAGTAAAGGACTTGCATTCGTGAGTTAAGGGAGAATAAAATATTTGACAGCTTCTATTGTCTTCGTATTTCGCTTTTAATTCAAAATATCTGTTTCCATTGTTTCTTCCATTCTTTTCCTAATTCCTTTTTCATTTTCTGTTTTGGATGCTTAGCGTTTGCTGGTAAGGACGTTGTAATGGCAACCAGATATATCTGAGACACTTGTTATGGTTCTGTCGATTCCTGTGTTTGGTGTTCTTTCCTTGACCACATTTTTCGGTCATGTATTCTTCAACGAGTCTTAGAGTGATACTATTTGAACTTGGTGGGAATTCTCAGCAGGAATATCAATGCTATTCAGCTTGATACAAACGCTGCAGTTGAGAACGCGCTGAGTGCGGTCACGGAGCATATATCTTCGTGGCATGCGTGCACTTTGAAGTTTTCATGAGGAAGAGACGAAACGATAATATTCATTTCAGGATGCAGCAGTAAACGAAAGGGAGGCGGCAAATATAAGAAAAGGACATATTGTAAGTGACCATTTCCTCCTTAAAAATAGAGATTTCTTTTATGTTTCTTATGTGTTAAAAGTGAGCAGGAGATGTTAGCATAATTGTTAAAGGAATTACTTTTGAGGAAGAGAATAATGAGATCAAAAATATTAATCAAACTGGAAAAAGCAGATCTAAATGGGTGTTTTAGTAAGACTTGTGTAATTTACAACGCAATCCTGTTAACATAAGCCTACGATCTAAAATGTCCCACCTGATCGGCCTATCTCATTCTTTACAAATGAAAGAAATGCAAACCTCTATTCTTATAGACAGTCAAGGAAACACAAATGTGCGTCACTAATGAAATTCCGCGTATTAAACAGTAGTTCATGCCTGATAACCCAATTAATCAAAAAGTGGGGAGGGGGCGTCGGGTACGTGCCACGTCCGGATCTGTTGCTGCATTGGAATCCTTCCCTAACCAAAAATGTACATTCATACACTCTTCACATTTTTGTCGAAAATTGCCTCCAGGGTACTGTTTTTCTGTGAGCCTCAGAAAGCTTACCAATGAGAGCATTGTGAGTAGAAGGCTTTCCAGCCAGCTGCATCTTTCTGATGTGAATATGTTAAAATTACAGTGGACTTGGTAAAAGTTAATGCACCTATGGAAACTTTGCTATCAGAGAGACTTTGAACACACGACACGTCAATAAAACATGTGTATGGTGCATTTTTAGTGTTTGAGTGATGCCATCACGTTAAGCTCTGGTACCCATTGATCCCATATATGTTTGCATATTATATGTGTTCATTGGTGGTGTAACCCTGTTCAAGTTACCTCTGATGGCTTGAAACTATAACTGAAGTACTAAAGGAAGTTTACTGGAAGGTCTAGCTGACGCATTCAAAATCGTAGAACTATATCCTTGGGAGTTTTGGTCTAAGACAAACGTTTTGTTGATGTTTGATTTGAGTGTTTCGCGTACAGCTTCTTGAATATTAAATTAATCATTATTATTTTAAATTTCATATTTGCATGCTACTCAGACTGAAGCAGTTTAGATTTCTAATTAATTCCGTTGTTTTAAATTGTATTTCGTAATTATTGCAAGAATGTTGCTGCTTGTTTTCCCGTTTTTTTATTTGTCATCCTCTTCCTGTTGGTTTTAAATTCGGTTATAATATGAACATTGAATTATTGAATTAATTTTTGCTACTTTAAATATAATCTTAAATTCTGAGCAGAGAGTGGGTGACTTTTGATTTATATTTAAGTGCTGTGAAAACATGTTGATTGTAAGCTTGGCACAAGTGTTTATAATGCAGGAAGATTTTTGCATGATTTTCAACTTTTTTCTTTTTTTTTTGTCCTGCCATGTTCTTTCTTTTCTTAATGCATTTAACATTATTCATAAAAGGAGGTCAGCAGTCTTTGTGATTTTTGTCTCTGACGAAATATTCATTCGTGTTCTGCGGCAACCCGAGTTCGATGGTCTTTCCTAATGCGTAGAGTTTGTAGTTATCCCGTTTTCATAAATGTTGAAATGACAAAACTAGAGACTTACTGGGATCATTCAGCAAGCACTACATTTGTTTCCCTGCAAACTACTCCTTGTAATCGCCTTGGGTAGTTTTAGCGTTTGGTTTATTTAAGACAACGTGTGTGTTGTTTTAATTTAGAACCCTGGTCGAATCTGGATGCTGCTTTAAAAAAAAACAGAAAAAACATAAAATCCTTACGGTGTTGGTCAGAAGATTTACCCATTCGTTCGATTTGGACAGAAGAACTTCGCCAAAGAACTGTGGGTTGGTAAAGTGAATGATAATGAAAATTTAAATAACTAATTTTAGGCCCACTGGGGCTTCAAATAATTTATTGCCGCTAGACTGGGTTGCTAGAGTAAATTCCTATCCTCCGCTGACCACAGGGGCGCTGGAATTACGACCTAGCTGTTTCGCTAAAGCTTTATCGGCAAAATTAATGTGTGTGCTGGTCACTTCTGTCTGACCAGTTTGCCAGGTTGGTTCGTTTGGTTTAGTATTGAATAAATAATCTGTGTTTAGTTGCAAATTTGCAAAATAGCCTTCGTAGGTTTAGTCGTCTTCTATATTCTGCATTTCGTTTGCAACTTTGGAAAGTATACCGCATTCAGTCCAGCCCATTCCAGTTATTTGGAAAGACAATGCCGCGGGCAGCAAAAACAAAGCGGTGTCCTGCCGGCGCTGAGGGGTCGAGACCAAGGGGGAAGCCTCGTTCGGACCGCATCGCGCTGGCTGCTTTCCCGAGTGAATCTTCGGCTCCCATCGCAAAGACGACTGCTGTGTCATGGGGTGAGCCTCTTTCTATACCGTCAGAGCTGACGCCTAGACCTGTAGTTTGTATCACATCTGTCCCTGATGGCCCTGCTATTTTGGCTGCGTCTCCCCCGATTGTTCATTCGGTTATGTCCGTTACCACTTCGTCGGGCATAGAGGGTGTCGATAGACCTGAGTCAGGGGTTTCTCAACATATTTGGGACAAAATTTGGAACTGGGAAGTTGTAGATTTTGCGCCTTTTGCAGCCCTCTAACAGTGTCAATAATGCCAGTGACTGCGTGTTGACTATTGGGTCGCGCGATTCCCTAGCATGGCAAATTTGTCCCCACAATCAACCCCCTCGGATCACCTCAATTGAAAAGTGGACCTCGGCTTTTCTGATTTTTGTATTGATCTATTTGATGCCACATCCTACACAGGCGAGACAGCTGCTAAAATATGCAGACATCGTTCGTTCGGCTTCTTTTCGGTGAGTAGGTTACAGGTGGCGTGACTATGATATTCAATTCAGGTTGCGCCAAACACGCATGCCGTCTCGGTCGTGGGCCAGCATTTACGCTGAACTATGGCTAACGTTGGTCGGTGCGCCCGTCCAACAACCCACTTTTCGTCCCTTTTCCAACCAGGGCATCCACAACGGGCAATCGGTCACACCAACATCGGGTCAAACCGCACCGCACAGCGCAATCAAAATACCGGAGTCTGTTTTGATTTTAACCGCGGCCACTGCTTCAGACCCTGTCGTTTTGCCCACAAATGCGCAACCTGCTTGTCCGTCGGCCATTCAGCCGCCTCATGCCGTGGCGGCCCTAGCTCGGTACGGGGACCACTCAGTCCAACCACACCTCCCAACACTAGTAAGAATAAACTAGAGGAACGTGTTTGCGAACAACCACTGAGCTGTTTCGGAACTTTCTGTTTGGTGATGACGTCATTATGACGTCATAACTTTAGGAAACTTCTTTCACGAGGTTCTTTGTTGTGTGTAACTTTGATATTGGTCAAACCTCTGATAATTGCCCAAAATGATGGCTTGAAAACGTATACAAAGTCAATGGACTGAAAACACCTATGCAAAAAAGCTGCTCCTTTACGATGTCATGTGATTTGCGTTTAAACTGAAAGAAAATTCTGAAATAATATTTGATATTCAGACTCTTGGGTATGCGTGTAATCAAATGAAGACGGAAAAATACAAATTTTGTTCGTTCTCATAGTAATTCTCAACCGAAGTTCAGGACTACTCTCATTAAGATCGATAATATTGCGTAGTAAAAAAAAGTGTACAAAACTGCAGCTTTAATCTCATGTCACATGACCCCCGATGATGTTATTTTGACGATTTTTCTTTGGGAGCCTCTATTCGTGAGGGACTTTAAGTGTACATTTAAGGAAATAATTCAGATTGACCAAAGTGCCGAGGACAGGCTGACGAAAAACGTATACAAAACCTACGGGGGAAGATTAAATATCGAAAAATTAATTTAAAAATAGGTGATGACGACGTCATAAATAAATTCTTACATCAGGGTCTTTGTTGTCTGTAACTTTGAAATTGATCAAACCTCTCAAACTAACCCAAATGCTGGCTTAAAAACGTGTACAAAGTCAATGGGCTAAATTAAATATTGAAAAATCAATACCAAATTACATGATGACATCATCATGATGTCTTTACTTACAATAATTCTTGTATCAGGGTCTTTGTTGGCTGTCACTTTGATAATGATCAAACATCGCAAAGGTTTCAAAATTGTGCCTTGAAAACGTGTACAAAGTCAATGAGCTAAAATAAATATTGAAAATTCATCACTAAATCACATGATGACGTCATTTCTTTAGAATTCTTGCATGACGGTCTTTGTTGGCCATCACTTTGAAAGCAATCAAATATTGCGAAGGTTTGAAAATAGTGGCTTGAAAACGTGTACGAAATCAATTGGAAAAATTAAATATTCAAAATTAAAAAAGAAATCGCCTGATGACGTCATCGTCACAAATTTCTTCTAGGACCATCCTTGGATTATTGTCCAAAGACCTGCCAATTTTAAAGTCAATCAAAAATTGCAAAAAGGTAGAAGTCCTGCTCAGAACAAAAACCCATGTTATGGAGTGGGATATGATGTGGAAGAAGAAATAAAAACTAGAGCTCATTTGTCTGTTTGCCAACAGAACAGAGGGCTTTTTCGCATTCTTTTTACAGTTTTACAGTTATCTGCAAAGTTTCAACCTGATAGAATATGCACTTATAGGAGATAATGGGCTTTAAATAGTGCACCTTTAATGTCACGTGACTTGTCTCCTGGTGCCGTCATCATCAGATAAGGTCAATATTCCTCTAAAGCACTCCCTTTATAAGATATCTGCAAGATTTGATTTGATCTACTTCAGGGGATACATGGCTTTAAAGAGTGCACATTTAGTATCACGTGACTGGTCACCTGATGATGTCATCACCACATAAGGTAAATATTCCTCTAGAACATTCCCTTTTCAAGATATATGCAAGATTTTAAGCCGATTGGACATCTACTTCAGGAGATATAGGGCCTTCAAGACTGCACCATTATTGTCGCGTGACTTGTCTGCTGATGACGTTTTTATCACATGAGGTCAATATTCCTCCTAAGCACTCCCTTTTCAAGATATCTGCAAGATTTGAACTCGATCGGAGATGTACTTCAGGAGATATAGGGCTTTAAAGACTGCACCTTTAATGTCATGTGACTAAATTGTCATCTAATGACGTCATTATCACATTAGGTCAATTTTCGTTTATAACATATAAATCCTTTTCTAGAATCTCCATGAAATACATATTGAAAACAGAACAAGTTCTTCAATAATCCTTGTAGATAATGGAAACGCTGGAGATTGTAAATTTAAATGAGACACTTCCTTATGAACACCCCCTTTTAATGACTTGAATAGGCTTACAGACCATTGTGCGCACATCACGTGCAAACCCCTTCCGCCCCCCCCCCATAGACTAGATATGACATCGCGTCCAAAACGCGTCCCGCGTATGCGTGTTTTGAGGAGGGTAAATAACGAGCGTTGCAAATTTCGTTGCGTGTAGGCCTACTTTCAAAAACCGGTTGAAGTTTTTGTGCTTCAATCGTCAGATTTCGAAAAAAACTGAATTCTGCACTTGGAATAGATAAATTTGGAAAGAATAATGGTTGAGGTGTACGCAGCGGTGAATTACCGGAGATCAACGTCACGTTTGTAAGAAGGAACAGAAAGAAATGTGAGTCGCAATTTTTTTAGTTTCAGAAAGTTTCTCAAGTGATACTTTATAATGCTTTACTTTAAGCCTGTCATAGGCCTAGTAAAAATGTATGACAGTCTATCTAGCCTATATATGAAACTTTACTATCTCGAAGTTGGGACCGTCTGAAATGTTACTTATTGGCAAAAGTGGTTTCAAAAACTGAATGACTTATTTGTCGTTTTTCAGATTTCACCGGAAAAATCTCCAAGACAGCCATGATTTATGTTTGTTGGATCTGAAGACGCACTGAACCCAAATCATGTGACAGACGATGTGATGTGAGTGACAGAATTCTTCTTCGGGGCAGAGATGAAACCAAAGTGAGAAGCAGAGTGCTGACGTTTCTGTTGAATGAAGTTACAAACAAGGGAATTCAAAGTCAACGCAATGAAACTTTGTCTACATAACAAAATTATTCTTTCTCAGTTGAAACTGACTTTTTTATGCCTGAATGTATTTGTTAAATGTAACTCTTTAAGTCAGGTTGTGAACTCAACTTTTTAAGCTGATTAATAAGTGTCTGTTTTAAAACGGCAGTAAGTTACTTTGGTCGCTCATAGCTGCGCTCATTTTGTGCTCACAGAAAGTTTCTCACACTTCCGTATGCTGTATGTCAGTTTTCAATAAAATTTACTCAATATATGAATGAATTTTGTTTAGTACAATTTTTCCTGCGAGTGTGTAAAATTAAAAACATTTTATTAATGATTTTTTCAGTGTTGGCTCATCGACACCGGACGGAAAACACTTGCGCAGTTTGGACTTTATATTTACTGACAAAACCTATTGCATGTCCTGGTGGAATTCACAAAATTTTACACACTGAACAAATCACAATTGAACCGACCAAAAGTGAAAATATTGCTAAAGCGAGACCGTAGACAATGCGTGTAAAAATGAAATAAAAACAAACACACACAAAAACAGGTTAAAATTATCGCTTTCGGTGGGTTAGTTAATAAGAGAATGGCCAGTTATTTCCAGAAATTATATTCTTGCATTTTCTGTTTATTTTGGGTTTCTTCCGGGAGGGAGGCCGAGGGCTTAGCCATCATCCCGTGAGAAACAGGTTATGTCGACCAGAAATGCACAGCATACAGCATCACAATAACCCTCCTGAAGCGCCGCTATTGATCGGCTGCGCATTTTGTGCACAAACAGTGCCCGATGTCCTATCCAGTCTGTATGATGGAGATCAATGGTTTGTTCATAAAAATATCCATTCAGCGTCAATTTCGTATTCTACCTGACCAGGACTGGTGAAAAAACGCGCAAGCAGCCCATGGAGTCGAGGAAGCCTCGCAAAGCACCATGGGGCAAGGCTGACAGCGCCCCATGGAATTCGGTCGAAGAGACGTTGGCCAGAGCACTGCTGCTTTCTCTCAACTATCTGCTGCCACGCCCTGCCCTCACCGCACAGGCAACAGCCCCCACTCCCCATCACATACATGGGCATGGAAAACAGACTAAATTTTCCCTTCTCTTCGATTGCAAATATACCCAAGAGTCCAAATATTAAATAATATTTTATGATTTTTTCCTAGTTTAGACAAAAATCACGTGACATGAACTTAAAGGAGCAGTGTTTCTGCAAATAAGTTTTTTCACATTGACTTTGTACACATTTTCAAGGCAAAATTTTGAAACCTTTCCGATGTTTGATCGTTATCAAAGTGACAGCCAACAAAGACCTTGATACAAAAATTATTGTAAGTAAGTGACGTCATGATGACGTCATCATGTGATTTACTCTTGATTTTTCAATATTTATTTCAATCCATTGACTTTGTACACGTTTTTAAGCCAGCATTTGGGTTAGTATGAGAGCTTGGATCAACTTCAATGTTACAGCCAACAAAGACCCGGATGCAAAGATACTCCCGTTGATCAGCCCATTGACTTTGTACATGCTTTCGAGGCACTAATTTCGGGCCTTAGTAATGGTTGATCATCGTCAGGCACTAACTATACAAAGAAGATAATTCTAAGATATTTACGACATGATGACGATATCACGTGATTTATTATTACATCTTTAATATTTAAATATTCCGTTAAATATATAAAATCCATATAAAATCAACCGTGGCCTCCCGCAACTATCTGTTTGCAGCAAGTGCCAGGATAAAATGTGGTCTTGAATTCGTCTCGTGTAGGTCAAATAACATGACCCTTCCTTCTGGTTGAAACCGGAAGTAGGCTTATTGTTTAAAAGTGGTAAAAGCCATTAACTTTTTTTCAACGGAATGAGTGTGTCGGTGTTAGCGCTGGGCTGAAAACCTTCTTAGATCTTGGAGAGGAAGTACTTTAGGTAAATATTGAGCTCATTTAGTGATGACGTCATCATCAATTGCTTTTTCATAACGGACATTATCGACATGTCAAATGTTATTAATTTTGCTCGGATTCTACTTTCCGTTGATTAAAAAAAGGGGCGTGACACCTGATAATCTGCGAGGGGACGCATTGAGTCCTAAACCCCAAACAGGACGGATGATGAAGTCAATGACAACACCAGACCCTTAACTTGCAAATCCCACGTGGCGTCGTCGTTTGCCAATAATGTTGGAGTAGTTTCGAAGTGTATATCATACAGTACAACTTTTAGTCAGTTATCAAAAGTGAAATTCATTTTTGCACCAAAATGTTCAGGATAGTGCAACAGATGTCATCTACAGTGGTCCTGCAACCTTTCTTCTTATATTTTGTACACAGAAAATGTGAAATGTGCAATCATTTACTCTTATGCCACTCTATAGAGTGGCAATGCATATTTATGTTTATGCAAATAAGGTGGGGTTTGCAGACCGATGTGAACGGAGAATACACTCTTTAAGGCCCTGTTTCTTCTGGAGTACATGTCCGATAGAGGGATATCCCAATACGACGTTTTTAGCGTCGATCTGCGCACTTCCGCGTTTGAAAACGAGGCTGTATGTGTCACCTTCAATGGAGGCCACATTAGCGCCGTCTGCGCATATCTGTATCGAAACCGAGGCTCTCTGTGTTGAACTTTGTCGCGCGCGCCTGCGGAGTCCACACAGTACATGGAGTATCCGGTTCGTAAGTGTGACGCCACTTCAGTTTGAACCACAACCACTGCACAAGATACACGACCATCGCAGGTGCGGTTAGTTCGCGGTCAATCGTCGTTATTTTTCTTTGGATTTTACGTGTCGGATCATCCTGAAAGTCTGAATTTAACATACCTTTATGTATTTTGTGTCTTGACTCCTTACTTTCAATCGTCTGATCGTATTGAGAATTGAAGCTGACACATACAGCCTCGTTTTCAAAAGCGGAAGTGCGCAGATCGACGCTAAAAGCGTCGTATTGGGATCCCTCTATTCTTAATACGATCAGACGATTGAAAATAAGGAGTTAAGACACAAAATACATACAGATATGTTAAATTCAGACTTTTCAAGCTGCAAATATTTGTCGAAGAGTCTTTCAGAATGACTCGACACGTGAAATCAAAAGAAAAAACAATGGAAATTTACCGCGAACGAACGTACCGGCGTTGGCCGTGTATCTTGTGCAGTGGGCGTGGTTTAAACGGCGCTAGACGGCGCTAATGCGAAATCCATCTAGTGGGTTCAAATTTTGAAGATACCTTGAATAGAGTGCTTTAGAGGAAAATTGACCTTATGTGATGATGTGACGTCATGAGGAGACAAGTCACGTGACATTAAAGTTGAACTCTTGAAGGCCCTATATCTCCTGATGTACATGACCAATCGGGTTCAAATCTTGCAAATATCTTGAGAAAGGGGTGCTTTAGAGGAATATTGACCTCGTGTGATGATGACGTCATCAGAAGACAAGTCACGTGACATTAAAGGGGAACTCTTCAAACCATTGTACCTCGAAAAGTACATGTCCGATGCGGTTGAAACTGTGTGTGGCTGGAAAGGAAAATTGTTCTGATTTGATTCTGACCTAATCTGGTGACAAGTCACGTGATATTAAAGAAATACAATTCTTGTAATTGGTATCACATCCACTCGTGATGACGTTAACAGTCGAAGAAGTCGTATATGTTATCTTTAAGTAAGTATTATAATTTTTGAGCTATTGTGAGAAGCTCCACAAAGTACAAAGCAAACTCTCAACTGTGAGAATAATATCACGTGACAAGTCATATTAGATTATCTTCTGAAGTGAAGTTTATGAATTGATTATAAATTAAATTTTAGGGTATATGTCACGTCCAGAGTATTAAATTGTTCATTTTTACTCTCTCGTAGTTTCTTAATTCCAGGGTTTTCCATCACAATTGCCAATACTTATTTTGTTGGTGAAACAGTCCCGAAACAGTTTTTTTTTCTTTTTTTTTCTTTTTTTGTTATTGTTATTACCTGTTTCCAGGCGACTTTTTAAAAAATTACATGAGGAGCAAAAATGTAAACTTCAGGCATTAGGGAATCATTCTTCCCAAAATTATCGAACGTGATGGGACGATCCTATGTAAAATCCCCGTTGGCGGACCGCACGTGTGTTCCGGGAGTTCTCTGCGTGACCTTTTACTTTCAGGCTCTCATAGAGCATTTTTATAAAATACGGCACTGTTCCACATTGGCTAAGCTCCAAGCAGGCCATTGCATCATACTTTGTCGCTGATACATAATATGGATCTTTAGAGTGGAGGAAGACACGGTATTTTGGCCATAAATGACAGCCAAAGGGTCATAACTTTTAAAGTTCGTCCTTCCCTGGCTTCAGACGAACCGGACATGTCGTAAAGTACACTCCGCTTGAGAAAGGAGCTTTAGTCCTGGATGTGATCCGTATTACGTGCTCGTACGCACGCGTGAATGAGAGGGACATGTGGACGAGTCACCCTGCTAGGGGTCAGGCTTCAATGCACAGCAGCAGCCGGCCAATCATCCGAACATGAATCCCGGGAATAAGCCAGAAGTAGGTATTCGTAATTTTCAAGGGTTAATCCATGCAGAATTTCGAAAATATATTTATGTCTGGAAAAGAATTTCTTGTCACACGACGCCTTTTTGCTTCTTGCAGTTGTCATTTATCAGTCGTGTAGGCCTAGCTAGCCGGCAACATATAGGCCTACCTTGCATGTGGACGCGACGGCGTACCATGGGTATACATACATGTATGTAGGTCTATAGGGCCTATGTACTTACCCCACTAACGTGTTGCGGTGTAGCTAACATGTAGTCGCCAGGTCCCAAATTTGTCCTAATTTGACCTATTGTCAAGTCTCATTGGTTCTCACAGTAAGTGGCAAAATAAGGACCTGGAGACTACACTGTCAGTCACGCACAACAGGTCTAAACGTTATGGGCTACAATAGGCCTAGGAGGATGCGACTTGTGCATGACTACATGGCCAGTGCGGTGGTTCATACATGTAGTAAAGCTAGAGGTGTCGCTGAGATCTATTAAATAGGCCTATGATGACAGACTATTCTTGTACGCAACACCTAGCTTTTCCAACCTAGGCATCCACAAGGTTCGAAGTTTGTCACACATTATGGGACAATTCTAGGCACCCCATGTCACCTCTAGTTCTACTTACAATCTCTGTGGGTGAAAAGAACCCCAAGTGAATGCATTTCTGCTATGCAAAGCAGTGTAAAATTCTTTGTTGTCACTTGGCACTGACCAAGGTCATGCAAAGTCTCATCTGAGACTAGATTAACCCTAACAGTACCGGGCGTTGTTTGGCTTAGAGTACTCAGTACTACAAAGTGCTATGTAACACTCTGAGCGTGAAGGCCCTCGCGCTACAAATTACTATTTCTGGCTAGG